ACAAAAAGTATTTTACTTAATGAAGACACATTTTTATCCAAATATGTTTTAAGATAGGAAAGTGTTTGGTCAGGATTAATATAGCTGAAGTCTTTTAAAGTCTTGATCATTCTTCTAAAATCCTAAAGACAACATTTACATATATATATAAAAAACCTCGGAATCAGGAAAAATAAGTTTTTTTTGCCAACTGTAAAAGGTTGGCCTCAAACTGTAAGAGGTCGGCAAAAAAATTTAACACAACAAGGTTACCTTGTTGTGTTAAATTTTTTAAAACATAAAAACGAGGTTGGCAATTTTTAGCCGACCTCAAACAATTTGAGGTCGGCATTGCAGAATGCCAACCCTAATTATATATATATATACATATATATATATATGTATATATATATATATATATATATATATATATATATATATATATATATATATATATATATATATATATATATATATATATATTTATATATATACAATTCTCGGAATTAGCGAAAATGAGGTCGGCAACAATTTGCCGCACTCAACCTTTTTGAGGTCGGCATCAGGTCGGAAAAAATTATTTGATATAAAAGTCTAACCATAAAACATAGAAACAAGATCGGCAATTTTTTGCCGACGCAAAACACTTTCAGATTGGCAGTTAGGTCGGCATTGACGAATGTCGACCCTAATTCTGAAGGTTATATATGTATATACATATATATACATATATATATATATATATATATATATATATATATATATATATATATATATATATATATATATATTTTATATATATATATACATATATATATATATATATATATATATATATATATATATATATATATATATATATATATATATATATATATATATATATACTGTAACTAAAAAAATTTTATTAAGGAATATATACTTTATAAACTATATTACTCTCAGTCCCTAAGAAAAGGAAGGGGGGCGTTTATTAACTTTTGAAAAATTTTCCCACCCAACATTTTTAAGACCCAAGGTTTTTAAGACTCCCTCTGACCCACTCTCTCCTATTTATTAATTAATTGTTGTCAACAAAAACTTTATATCTCAAAACTAAAAAAAAAAAAAATCAGTGAAATTCGGCCTTAAAAGTTAGAAAATAACTCTTTCAGTCATCAATATAAACAAAAACTTTAAGTGTAATCAGGCTTTAAAAATTGCTTTTTTTTTAACCTTGACCTTGAAATTATGTTAAAATAGCTGTTTGAAAATGTACATTTGACCCCAAGCTGCATTGGAATTAAATAGTTTTAGGCCTATTTTGTAAAAAATATTAGTTCGGGTTTATAAACTAAACTTTTTTATAAAAAATACTTATATTGTATCATCAAAAAATTCCCACTTCCCCTTTTATTAACCCCATACCCTGTTTATTAGATCTATACTAAAATTCCCACCCCCTTTTTTTATTCCCCTCCCCCCCTCCCCTTGTATTAAGAACTTTAGAGTAAGAGCATTATCAATAACGTTTTTCTTTAAAAAGCATAAGACATGTTACGCGCATTTATGTTATTTATTAACTGAATTACTTAACTATTTATTAACTGCCGTGTCTTTTTATTAATATTTATTATTATTAATATATTAGCATCAATTAGTTAAATAAAAAAATAAATAAAAAAAACAAAACAAAAATAGTCTCTAATAGGAATTAAACCCAGAGTGCAGTCTCAACTATCAAATTTATTAACCTCTACACCACACATATTGTAATCAATAAGTTAATTTAAATAAATTTGTTTTACGCATGATATCATAAGTAATTAACGCACTTTAAAATAAAATAACTTCTGCATAATTAATAGGTAAGCGTTACATCAACGTTACACTATCAGGAAATCAGTGACCTGGGTAAATATATATTAGATATATGTATGTATGTATGTATGTATATATGTATGTATGTATGTATGTATGTATGTATGTATGTATGTATGTATGTATGTATGTATGTATGTATGTATGTATCTATGTATGTATGTATGTATGTATGTATGTGTGTATATATATATATATATATATATATATATATATATATATATATATATATATATATATATATATATATTGCAAACTATATTTTACAAAAAGAGTGTTCAATGTTCTTAAAGAACAGAGCAGTAATAAACTAGTAAAAAAATTCTTATCTAACTTGGGGTTCTACTGCCAGTTTCTCCTTTAGCAGGATCAACTGAAAATAGAAGCCCAAGTTAGATAAGAATATATATATCTATGTATATTTTATTTTACGTGTATCAAATTTGTTATAAAATCTGTCATTATTATAAGAGGAATATAATCAAACATTCTGACAAGCTCAAAGAAAAATTGTTTTCTACTTTTTAGTTTGTTTGAAAAACGTTGTTTTTAGAAAAAATTCATTTTTTTATTGTAGATTATTCTTTACTTTTTAGGTTTTATTTATTGTTTACTAAATTTTTGTTTAATACCCGTGCTGAATTATTTGAAATATTTTTTGTCTGTTACAAATTATTTTAAAGTTTTTAAAAACTGTTTTTCTCTTTTAGTGTTCACAAAAGTTGCTATTTATTTTTTTGCATATAAAATTTTATTTTGTTGAAATTGAGAGAAATATTGACTGCCGAAGCTTGAAAATGTTTTTAAACTGCATTGTCATTGGGTTCTGAGCTATCCTGAAAGTTTCAGAGCTCTAGCTAGTCGAGAAGTGGATTAAATATAACTTTAAAGATTCTAACTGGACAGATAAACACACACATACACAAGAAAAAAAGTTTATAAAAAATCTAAAAGACTTGCTTCTTGGCATCAAAAAGGAACTTTAGTGGACCATCACAGGCTTGGTTGGGAAGCAGGAGCGATCGCTCTCGAATACTGACCACGGAAATTATATTTAGTTGCGAAAAACTGGCCAGGTTTTTTAGTTGTTTTAAGAACATTTTAAAAACAAACAAAAAAAAGTGCAGAAATGATTATTGGACCGATGAAAGACAATTACAAAAAAACAAAAAAACAAAAAAACTAAGAATAGAATATAAGTTTTAACGCGAAAAAACTTATAGCAAAATAAATTACATTTAGAACAAATATTTTCGAAGCATCGTTCTTTTATAATTTTTTTATAAAATTAAGCAACACTTTTTATATAAAGTAACATCTTATGATTTCTTAATAAGGAAACAAAATGTTCTTTTATTTATCAAAGAGTATAATATAATTTTATTTATAAACTCATGTCTTATTTCCAGTGCTGGATTAAGGAGGACCCCGCATTTTTAGGGGCCCCGAAATTTTCCAGAAAACTTTTTTTCATGTCATTTTTACATTGTGACACATAAAAAAGGCCTTTACAATAAAAATAGCCCTAAGCCCCAAAAAGTCCAACAAGATTTTAATAAAACTAACACTAGTCTTAGTTTTATCTTAGCTAAATTATTTTATAAATAAAAAGTTAAATTTCTTAATACCTATTTTATGCTTCGCGTTGTTTAAAAAGTTGAACATATTTGAAACAATTCTTCTTAGTGAGATGAACAAATGAAATAATTAAATCATTGAGTTACTTTAGAAATTAAACTAAATATTTAAAAACCATCTAAAAAGGTTAAAAATATTTTATGAATAGGAAGTGGAACTGCTTCACAATACCGCAGATGATGTTTAGTGAGTGGGCTTTTTAATTTTAATTACTATTTAAAACACAAAAAAGTAACTTTAAGTTTAAGTATAACGAGTTTGTAAAAATGGCAACTGAAGCAAAATTAATTAGAGTTAGTAAACCAATATCTAAGAACTTAAAAACTTTTTTTTCTTGGGAGAAAGAATCAGTTATCGGGTACACGGAAGAAAACGGATTAGTTGTTAAAATATGGTGTAAGATTTGTACTAGACACAAAATAACTATATTAAAAGATACTTTAGTTAAAGGAGCGCTGAATTATTTGTTTATTGAGGGAACTTGTTTGGTGACAAAACATCAGGTAAAATTAAAATGATTTACTTTTTAAATTTATCAATCCAGAAATAAACTTAGCATAATTTTTACTTATGAATTTAGTTATTTTACTATGTTTTATTAAAAGTATTATGTATAAAGTATTATATAATGTGGCATGAATTTATCTTATAAGTTATTTCATTGCGAAGAGAACTGACTTTTTATTGAATTGTTTAATTTTAATCGTGAATTTTTTTGATAATAATGAAGGTTGATTGCCATCTTAAAGGACAATGTCATAAGTTGGCGGTACAAATTGAAAATGGGTACTCGGAAGATCCTACAGGTAAACCAGTCACCATTCTCGATATAGAAAACTCGGTACCACATAACAGCCGCGATGCGTTATCAAAAATGTTAAGAACTGCCTATGAAATGGCTTTAAAACCACATAGCCATTTCGAGACGTTGATAAAATGTCAAAGAATTAATGGTGTACTTCTTTTAGAAGGAAAATGCAACAATAAAGCAGGTTATTGATTTTTTTATATTCTTTACAACCATTTTTTTTCTAAATGATTTTTTATTTTTTTACAACATTTTGTTTAACTTGCATTCTTGTAGGTTTGTTTATTTATATATTATTTTGGTGTGATTTATAGGCATTTAAATCATTTTAAAAAATTTTTTGTATAAATAATTAAGAAAACTTGAGGTAAATTAATCCTTTTGAGTCAATAACTGTTTGACAACCACAGGTTATTGACAAGATCAATTTTTAGGATTGGCATAATGGCATCTTAAGCAGCCTTTTTTTTTTTAATTCTAAATTAGTCAGTCGAAATTTGTTATGGTTGATCAATTTATATCTTGCTCCCACAAATTTTCTATCCAATTTTAGTTTGTTATTGTGCAGGCCACTCGAAAGCATTTTTAAAACTAAATTTTTTTTTAGCATTAAACCACACTTTACCACTTTTGGGTGTGTGCTTGAGTTTGTTATCTTTTTAGAAATTCGAAACCAAAGGGAGGTTTTCCTCAGCATATAGCAACATGACGTTTTCTAGTATTTCTTTGTACATGTCTTGATTCATTCCCCATTTGACTTCTATGCAACCGGCCTATGCCACACCATTAAAAACTGCCCCAAACAATCACATTGCCAACACCATGTTTTATGGTCTTTATAAAATACTGAAAAGAGTGGATTGTTGATAATGACTATTATATAGATATAGACCCATCAGCTCAAAGCATATTTTTCTAAAAACATAATTTCTTGTGAATATACTTTTTTGCAAACTTCAAATGTAGTTTTGCAACTATAATGTTTAAGTCTAAATGTGGTCTAAATGCAAATATATGTGGATTATTGTATTATATAAACTTACATAAAAAGGGGGAGGTTTTATTTAGTGAAGAGATTTTAACTTAAAGAAAAGATCTTAATTTCTTGTTGTGTAATTGGATTGAGAAAACTACAATAATATATTGTATTATTATTATAATATAAATTATCATAGTATAATATTATTACTTTAATATCATTATTTGATTTTGTTGAAAGTAAATGATAAACTTAATTTTTAAATTTATAATTTATCAAAATAAGTGATTTGATGTTGTAATATTGACATTGTAATAATGACATTTTAAAAATTAAATGCTTATTTTGTTTCATTTAAAAATGAATTCCTTTCTAAAAGCAATTATTTGGTAAAGAAATTCAACATTTCACTACAAGCAATTTAAATTGTTAAATACGCACAATTGATTTTTTTTTTGTTTAATTTGGTAACAATGGAGATCTTAATAAGATGAATAAAATAAATTTTATGTATATATGTGTGTATGTGAATATTATGTATATATGCGTGTAATTTCATAAAGGCAATTTGTGTAATTTCATAAAGGCAGAGTAGATTTTTTTATAATATTACCATAGACAGGAACTCTTTTTAATATGCTAGAAGCAATATGACCATGCTTGCATAAATGTTGTATTAAACTTTTCTATTATTTTCTAAAAATTTTTATGATGTTATGCTTAAAATATGTTTAAATGGTTGAAATTTTAAGCTTTTTTCTAATCTATTTTTCACTCATCTTTGATAGACAAACATATGGTATGTTAATTACACATTTTTAAATTGCATTAGACAGTTGAGGTTTAGTTGAGGGATTTTGAAACAATTTGTTGCAAATAAAAATTTGCTTACTTGAGATGAAAGGTTGGATTTGGCATAGATGTAGAGTGGATGAAGCAATATTCATAATTATATCTTTCATCTTTTTTTACTAATATTAAATGTTTTATTTGTTTAGGTTTACATGTGTTTAGAAAAAATATTTATTGATTTTATCAACAATTTTCTTATGTAACTTCAATTTTACAAAATAAAAGTTCTGATAACACAAAAAATCCACACAGGAAAATCACTTTTTAAATATTTTAACTAATTTTACATTTATTGATTTTGAAAATGAATATTCATTCATTTTTAAAATCAGTATATGTAAAACTAATTAAATAAGCCATGATAAAAATGAATGAATGATTATCACTGATAAAAATGATTAAGCCATGATTACCACTGATAAAAATGAGTCAACTTATTTAAAACTAGTTAAAATATTCAACAGAAAATAGCAGGAAAAAACCCTCAAAATGACAAAAATGGTTTTCCACAAAAATGTGAAAAACAAATTGTTATCTTATTCTGAATTCTAAACAAGGTTTTCTAATTATCTATGGAGACAGCATATATAACCTAATTAAAAAAAAATATATATATATGAGAAATTAGGTACATATAATATGCCAATAATGATGCCATACTGAAATAAAGATAGACATGAGCTTATTACTAGTGCTTCCAATACCGATACCATTTTTAAATACCGGTATTTCGGTACTGATAACTTTTAATACCGGTATAATACCGGTATAAAACTTTTTTTCTTAATTTTACAAAATATGAATAAAATCTCAAGTTAATAGTAAAAATTTAATTGATTCAATAAACTTATTTATTTTATATCAAAATTACTGACTTTTTTGTTTTTCGTTTTTTCTCCTTTGTAAAATTATCCCATAAAAAACATAGGGTGTTCAGAGTATCATCCTCAAGAGATAATCTAATTTTGTGACAATGTTGCGACTTGCTGAAAATCTACGCTTCGATTCCACACTTGTTGGCTTCACAGTTTTCAAGTATTGGTAGGAATTTTGCAAATATATACCACGATTTCCTCCTTCGAAAACTGCCATCTCATTACATATAATTTTTAATGAATTATTCAAAACATTCAATAATCTTTTGTTGTTACATTTCTTATTTTTCAAAATTGCAAAGTCAAGCTTTTCTTTCAATGACAAGTTTACAGCGTTGTCAACAGAATCGTTAGTTTTGGAAGAAACGCTGGTGGGAGAGAGAGGATTATATGCTTACTGATTTAGCTGATCTTTCAGTCGAGCAGAAAATGCTGTATTGGCTGACAATAGTGTTCCATCATTTTGGCACAATGTTTCCAAAGCCAGTTTTACTAGTGCAAGGTATGAAGCAACAGCTATTATTGCATTAAACTCCTTATCAGTTACCTGAACTTTGGACTCAAGGTTAATCAGCGAGTTGAAAGTGCAATTTTTCAATTTTACGAAACATTTGAGCATTGAGTGTAAGCTGCTCCAGCAAGTCTTGGAGTCAAGTATTAGTAGAAGACCTTTACCAAATTTTTAAATGTGCGTTTTAAAGTGTTTGGTCCTTTTTTGTCAGAGAAACAATTTCACAACGGTGCTCATTTTATTGATTAACGGCTGCAAATCATCAGTTTTGCAAATCGTCAGTTCAATAAAATCATTCCCTTCACTCATTACAACTTGAAAGCCGCCGTAAAGGTCTCCATCATTCTTGATTTTGTTTGTAATCACCTCAATATTTCTATCTTTGTCACTTTCACTGCTATTGTTATAATTGCAGATTACTTTTTTTTTTGTAGATGTTGACAGTTTTTTTGTACAAAATGTCTTGAACACTTAGTTGAATACAATGCCTAATACACAACTATTGATCAAAGTTACTTTTCTGCATTACAGAAGCTCAACCAGTAGAAATACATACGATGTCTACATTGTAGTTATTACTACTCATTTGTTGACACAGTAACAGGCAGCATTTTTCAGCAGGCAACAAACCAACAACACTAGCTAATCTAAGGTTCCAAAATCAAGGGAGTTCAATCTAGAAAAAAAAGAGGGCAACGAATTATCGCATTGATTTTGAAAGAAATCGGTGATCGGAGATTTGAATTTTTCGGCCGTTGATAACAGCACTAATGAAAACGAAACCGATGAAGATGCTGCATCTTGGAACAATTTCCTCTTCATCAAGTCAATTTCATGGTTAGTTTTTTGATGTATATGCAGTACACTGGTTCTTCCGCCATATGATTTTATCTCTATGTTGCATTTCTTACACTTTGCAAGTTGATTTTCTTTATCACACAGAAAATAAAACCTCGCAGAACTTTCGTCAATGCTAAATTCATTGAACACTTTCTGGGATATTTTATTTCTGGTTATTAAGGTAATTCCATCTATTAGACATAAAATATTCATTATTACTTTTAAATTAAAAATGCGTAAGGTTTTTTAGTATACATATTATAGCAATTGCTGTTAATTCTATAGTTTTACATGGCATATATGCCATGTAATGTCAAAATGATAGATTATAGATGATAATATGGTAGATTATAGATAATATAATGATAGATTATAGATAATATAAGACCATGTCAAGATAATAGATTATAAATTGTTTTTCATAGAGTAATTTGCCAATGGTATACCATTGACAAATTACACTATGAAAAACGCTATATAATCTATCATCTTGACGTTTTTAAAAAATTAAAAATGTTCTCAACGTTCACGATTTCAAACTTTTCTTTGTTTACGTTAGTGCAAAACTCAAACATGCGCTATACATTAAAGCAAGTGACGTAATGATAATATTTGATTATTGATAATATCCAAATCAATAATGAAAAATTTGATATTATTGATATTATTTGAAATTAATCAAATATTTTCATTTTATTGATTATTGATAATATCACAAGTCATCAAAATACATTTTTAATACCAGTATTTAACCAAACCAATACCAGTTTTTCGGTACTTGAAAAAGTCTGCCAATACCGGTTTCCGGTATCGGTACTACCAGTATTGGAAGCACTACTTTTTACATATACTGACTTTGGAGCAGAGTTTGAGCTGGCAGAACCAAAATAAAAACATTTGACAAAACATTTTACAATTTATCCTTTGACTAGAAAAAAAAAAGCTTTTAAAATCATGTCATCCTGGGTCTCAAAAAAAGTAAAACTATGTAAAATTAAAAATTAATTTATTTTACTAAAAACCTTGAACAAAAATTATTCAATCAAAAACCATGAAAAAATTATTTATTATTTTAATAAAGAAAAAAAAGGATTAGGATTCCAGCAAAACTTAAAAAAAAAAAAAAATTAATAATAATTCTTTCTTATGATGAAAATAGTAACTTACATGATGGATATCCAATCTATCTACATGGCTTTTAATATCAATTAATTTGTTGTTAAGTATATGAAACTGCTGCAAATCTGAAAAGCTATCCAATGATAAAAAAGCATTGCGGAGATCATCATAATGAGTACAATCTAGGAGTAAGTAGTGCAATAATTTTAATGCAAATTTTGCTTTAGGTATACACAAATCTGATGAAAAATATTGAAGTTTATTCACTAATAGCTGCATGTGCAAAGCAATTTCTTTTGAAACAAACAAATGCTTTTCCATGCATTTACAAAGCATTTTAAGAACTTTTAAACCAATAATAGAAATTCTTTCATTTGAGATTTCAGCAAAAGTTAAGCTTCTGTACAACAGTTCACGAACTAAACTTTTTCCACAAACTTCTTCTAAATCTTTCAAATTTTCTAACAAAAAATATGCAAAACAGTAATAGGAACGAATGCATGACAACTTATTTAATTCCTCTATAGATTTTATTGCATGGAGAGCGATGGACACTAATATTTTCAGAATAGAAGCCTAAACAGAATAATAACTTTTGTTTGATTTTTTATGCAAAACACAATATTAATATAAAAAAAATACAAATTTTATAAACAAGTTAAAATGCATACAGGCAATTTTAAGAAAATGCTTATAGGTTGCTTTTTTGTTCCATAACAACTAGCCATATAAGAAATGACCATCTTTACTGCATTTGAAGAAAAGGTTGGATAAAAAAAACATGGATCGCCAACTCTAAACAAATTTATAAAAAACATTTTGAATAAATTAGATTAAAAATATATTTTATCTTTATTATTTGTTAGTTCAAATTGCTAATTTTATTTAACTTTAATTTTTTTAAAACCAAATTCTTTCCCAACAAGGCTGCAAACTATTATTGGGAGTGAATGAGATTAAAAAACCACTATTAAATTAGTGTTACTAGAGAGCAAAGAAATAAATTAATAGAAAACAATGAAATAAATTAATAGAAAACAAAGAATAAATTACTAGAAAACAAAGAATAAATTAATAGAAAACAAAGAATAAACTACTAGAAAACAAAGAATTTCAAATAATAATAACAAAGATATAATAGCAATTCTCAAATTCCAATCAACTAAATAAAAATTCTGAAACAAAATTTCTTACCTGGTAAACTTAGAAGTACACATGTTTGCACTTGGGGAATCATATACTCGTAGAAACAACTCAACCATGATTTTACAAAAGTTTTTTACAACTTCGTTATTAAATACCTTTGATAAAGAATAAAATTAAAAATAAATATTAAAAAAATTACTATTATGTTTAATGATTTCTGTTATATAAATTTTGTTAATAAAGGTGCTTATTAACAAAATATTTACTCAGCTTGCTTGCACTCATTCCATTCACTGCTTCACAAAACTCAATCACATATTCTTTCAGTCGTTTCCTGCAATTAGCCAGTGAACTTATTACCTGTGTTCACTGCTTCACAAAACTCAACCACATGTTATTACAATCTTTTCTTGAAGTTAGCCTGTGCACTAATGACATATGTTTACAGTTTCACAAAACTCAAACACATATTTTCACAGCGCCATCATACAGCTTATTCAGATATTCAGACAGCTAGAATTTACACTTTGATATGCTAAACAATATGCTGACAATGTCAATATTTATATACCAGAGTTCAATTAAGTTAATTCAATTGAAATATTTAACTAAATTATATGATTTAAAATAGATGATGCAAAATCTACTACTATCTACTATGTTTACTATTATTTACCATTATTAAGCATATTCAATTAATAAAAACAAAATTGAACAATTTTAATTAATAAAAACAAAATTGAAAAACTTTAATATAAAAACAATCTTAAGCAAATTTAATTTAACATGTTGAAAGTTATAAAACAACCAAAATATTATACAAAAACTCGCTAGTTACAAAAAGAAACCAGTTAACCAGTTATTATTACTATCAGCTTTTATTAAAAAGCTAGATTGTACAAACTTAAACAAAAATGGCTTCCATTGTCCAGACAAAACAATAATTGCTTCCATTGTCCAAACAAAATAAAAATGGCATTGGAAAATATTTGGAAACATACTTTCATTCAACTGGCAATTTACAGTTTTGCTGTATTTTGTAAACTTTTTTTTTTTATAATTTTTAATTTTTTTCAAAAAAGCAAAAAAAAATCTTACTTCAACAGTTATACAATTTGTAAACTGTTCCATAACATTAATTGAATCACTTGATTTAACATTAGCTAAATGTTCAACATAACCAGGTAAGGCAAACGAAGCAATCAAAGTAAAACTATCAACCAGTAGTTGTCTGTTGTCAATATATTGATGAAGACTTTCAATAGATTTATAATCATTCTTAAGTACCAAGTATGCAACAATAACTTTATAATTTTTTCTGAGAATAAAACAACATGCTGTTTAATACATTAACATAATTAATAATAATAAACAATATATAATATATACAATATATAGTAGAACAAAAAAAAACTAATAGTAACATTTTTAATACATTTAATTGCAATAATAGTTATTAATTTTAAATATATTTAAAAATAGAACAAATAATATAAACATACTTTATAAACTCATCAAAAGGAATTCCAAAACAAGTTGATGGGAAGTCATTGATAAGACAGTTCCTCTCAAGAAAATGAAACAAAATAAAACCTATTCTAGGTTTCATATAAGCCAAGATAGTTTTGTAATGAAGTTTTGTTGATACAGATTCTAACGCCTAAATTATATTTTTCATAAACTTTTCTTTGAAATAATTACAAAAAGATTATATAATAATATAAAAGTATAAATATATTTATATATTTATATATATATATATATATATATATATATATATATATATATATATATATATATATATATATATATATATATATATATATATATATATATATATATATATATATATATATATATATATATTAGGGTGGAGTGAAAAAAATTTTTGTTGAATATCTTGGTTTGATAGCTATAAAAATTTGCTGACATATGCAATTAGTAATGTGGCAAACAATCAAACGATTTAAAGCATATCTTGAGGTTCCACAATTGACCTGAATTATAGGCATATTTCAAATAAAAAACAATATTTTTTGAAATTTCAAGTTTATATATGACAACATATTTGTGTAGCAGTATACATTTTTAACAGTCTATACGAAAGTTACAAGTAAATAGAACTAAATATTTGAAAAGAAAAACACATGAAAACTCTAGTCAAACATGTTTTTATAGCTACAAATGATGTTGTGCTTTAGTGTCCAGTTTCGGCATTTTTGATCTCGATTCCAAACGTGCTCTTATGAATCCGTCGCGTTTTTCTGGACCGCAAACCGTTTGGGAAGCTTCTGTAACTAGCTTAATATGCCTCTCCACCGACTGAGTGTGACAAGGATAGTGTGCGAAACCCAGTCTTGGTGTATCTTCTTCCCGGATCATGGTTAAAAAAGTATTGTCATCAATGTCCATTACGATTGGAGGCTCAGTGATTGGAGTTTTTTGCCAATCGATCATGTCTATGTAACTGGTAGCTTCAAAATTGATTACTGGCACACAGAAAGATCTAACTGAACTCGTGCGCTTCTGCTTCCTGGATTTCATTATACGTCTCAAAGCCAACTCGCGTATTTCTGATTTTTCGTCAGTAAGCATCGCAAGCAACAGGTTTTCTGGATGAGTAAAAAATGCGTTGCGTTGAATTACTGGATCAACAACTTTCTTCAGCTCGTCTGTGAGGTAGCGTGATTTCAGTATTGTATTATGGACATGTCGAGCGCCATCTTTACATGAAGAAGTATTTTTTATTTCAAACCATGCTGGTGCATAAACTGTTACGATGAAGGTAACCATTGTCTTCAGTTTATCCGATGGGCATCTTGTGGCTATATACAGGCGTAGTATTCGATTAGCCGTTGTTAACCATCTTGAATGATTGATAACACCAGGATTGCAAAGTGAAAGGCCTACACGACAAATGCCAACACTGACAGCGGTGCACAAGTCAAACAGATATTTTTGATCTGTACTTAAATCGTCAGAATTTAAACCTGTCGGTAGAACACAGTTTATGGGTGTGTATTTGACAACGGGAAGCTTCTCACATGCCACCAATGATTTTCCGATTGGACCAAAATCCTTTTGGACCATTGGTAGGTCCATTTAGAGGTTTGAACAAATGCCTTAATGGTAATTCGTTAGCTGTAGCTATTGTTAGCATGTTAGCAAATTGTTAGCATGTAGCTGACATACGAACCATTGCAGCGGTTTGTTCAACGCCACTTCAAGTAATCGAATGATACCTCCCCGATTGCCTGTATTAGCAACGGTTCCGTCACAACCTACAGCTTTTATACCACCCAGGTCAACATTCTTTTTACTCAAATATGCAATCAACTCAGCCGCAATAACTTTGCTTGACCCTGCAATTGGTGTAATATGGCCAAAATAGATGGATCCTGGTTCGGATATAATGGATATATGTTCTTCAGTTGTTAGTTTTCGATGAACTTTCCCATCACATTCTTTAATAAGGGTTATTGTACTGTCTTTTCTTCCATCAAAATATAGCCCAGTGATTGTGTTACTGACATTGGCACATAATGTTCCACGTTTTTTACAACGCTCTCGTCGCACTTTACTTCTGTCAATCACTTTAGAAACATCCCTTTCGTGGATTATTCCAACATCTTGAAGAACAGCACTGGCGATTTCTGCTGCGGCCCTGTCGGATACACCATGTCGATCACATGCTAACGCCAAAATGGTAACTTAACTCTCATCTGCTTGTCACTCAACTTTCTAAATTGTTCATTAGGATCCGGCATACAATCGTCATCAGATTCGTCATCGCTAGCATCATCTTTACAAATATATCGTTTTTGAAATTTGATGGATTCGGCCTCATCAACTTTAGCAATGATCATACCTCGTGGACCCCGCTGATCTTCTAGAAAATCACGTTCAATTGCGGGTATCTTTCTTGACTTTTCAAACTGACACTGAGATATGAAAGAACACTTGGAGGAGCAAATGTCAAAGAGTTTTTTGGATTCATTTTTAAACTGAGATATTTTCTCTCGGTATGGTCCGGAGTCTTTTTTAGAGTTATATGGCTTCAGCAAATTCATGAACGTCTTGTGGTACTTGTTCAACATTTCTTGGACACGGCGGTGGCTTACATGTGGTATAGAAGTTTTGTCCCATATTTGTTCCACTTTTGTTGTCACTATTTCTGCCACGTTGTGATGTGGTGGATCTTTATTGTTCAATTCATATTTAAGTTTCTGTTTTGTCAGATTGTAAAACTTCATAACATATGCATAAGTAGGTAGTTGATTGTCAGGCATTTCAGAGGGAGCATCAAAAATGACACAAGATACTTTTTTCCTGGTTACAGCCATTAAATATGAATTGTTATTATAAATGAATTAAAGTATTATCTTATATGAATAAAATGTTTTGAAATAAACGCTGTTTGTTTACTCTAGACAGGAAAAACGCACGTGAATACGTATAAAAGTGAACTACAATAAAAAATACCGGATAGTAAATGCTTATAAATGGTTAAATTTTGAAGTTGGTTGTGGAACCTCAAGACATTACCTAAATTAATTTTTTTTTACGGAGTAATTGATTGTATCACAGAGCAAGTTTTAATAACTATCCAAAGTCAAGCAAATCAAAAAAAAAATTTTTTCACGTTTTCACTCCACACTAATATATATATAAATATATATATATATATATATATATATATATATATATATATATATATATATATATATATATATATACAGGGGCCATTCTAGGAAAAAAATTTGGGTGGCAGTTCCTCTCCTGTAACAGAGAAATTTAACAGAAAATTGGTGTTTTTTCGCGAAAAAAAAAACATTATTCGTTGTAGAAAACATTTAAAAAAATGTCCTCAAATTTTAATTTTTAACAGTTGGCGCTGTCGAAAACGGTCTAGAATAGCCCCTGATATATATATATATATATATATATATATATATATATATATATATATATATATATATATATATATATTCCTATAGTAAAAGCTTTAAATTTTCTGTTTGTGGTAAAAAACGGCTCTTAACAATTCTTTGATGTCAAAATGACAAAATCTAGTATACTTTATGTAAAAAGCATTAAATATTGTGTAAACTAATTAAATCTTATCATTTTTCAAAAAACCACAAAAACATCTACTGACATATAGATAGAACATACAAGGAGTGCTGCTACATCGACTTAGAAATAGGTAAAACACTGTGAAAGACAGTGGAAAATTTCAAAACATTGATGTTAAATGAAAAAATTTAGATTGCACTTTTTGAATCTAAAAAAGAAAGAGCATTATTAGAATAAACAGTCAAAATATGACAACAGTATTCTATATATTAAAAAAAAAGTGATTTATAGAGGTAGAGAATAAAATCAAGATAAAGAAAGACAACTTTTGCAGATGCTAACTTTTCAATGAATTGTATATTTAATTAGAGGTCAATAATAAATGATATAGGAAGACATAAAGTAGAGGACTCAGAAAGAGTATTGTAATTCATTAATATAGAAATATTAACAATATTGCAATAATCATTTCGAGTAAACAACTGAGTTCTGTTTGTGTTAAAATTTAATACAGCCCCAACAAGAGAGATCGCATTTAAGATTAGTTGTAAGTAATCAAAATGCTTTTAGACCTCAAATGTTAATTTGTATAAACTTGCGTCAAATGCAAAAGAATTTTGTATCACAGCTCTTACATATTTTTCCCCTGTAGTAATATAATTCAACTTATTACTTGTACTAACATTTTTATAAATATAGCACTATAAATACTGCAAACAAACCTTGAAAACCTTTTTTGGCTTAAGAAATCCAGCTTCTACATAGTTTAACAATGACAGTAATGCATTTTTATCAAGGTAATCGTCACATAATATAACTTCAGATAATGATAGTATCACAATCGCTCTCCTATTAAAAACTTCATCTTCTTTATTTAGAACTCCCTATTAAATTTCAAAATTCGAAAAATAAATAACAAAAAAATACAAAACAAATATAGCAGAAAAACTATTAAAATATTTTAACCTGATTATTAAATAGAATTAAACTTTCTAATGTTTCCAGTAAAAGTGAAAAATTCTTTTCCTTTTCTGCAACAGATTTATTGAGAAACAACACATTCAATGATTTAGCTGCGTGAACTTGCACAAATGTATTCTCATCAGTAAGTAGCTGAATAAGTAGGTATGAAGGCAAATTCAAAAAATCTATTTTTAAAAATCAACAATGAAAATATCAAAATTCACTTTAAAGAAATTAAAACAAAATAAAAGCATAATAAACTAAAATGATATTAAATATTTAAATTAGAACTTATGCAAATAAAAAAAATATATAAAAAAAAAACAAACAGATTTTATAAGCAGTTAAACCATTCATTAAAAAAGAACTCTGAGTTGTTAGTTTAGATTTCAGAATTACATATAAAATATATAAAATTAACTATATAAAATTATATATAAGATGTAAAACTATATAAAATTATATATAAGATTTCAGAATTACATTCTCACTAAATAGTTCTATAATACCAGTAGATTCCACTAATTGACCATAAATGAAGAGTTTAAAAAAAAATAATTTATTATTATACATCATATTATTATACAATAATTTATTACATCAAACTTTTATAAACTATGTGTTAAACAGTGTTAATTTTATATTTTACTTAAAAAGATTTTCACCTCAAAAATCCTCACAAAACTTTTTTCTACTAAAAAAATATTTTTTTTTAAGTTTTACTTTTTTATTTATTTTTTTGTTATTTAGGTGCCCCGAGAAGACCTAACGTTCCATATTTGACCTAATGGTCCTAACAGTCATAACGGTACTAACGGTCCAATTTTTATTTTAGGTTTGTTATATGATGCATTAATGCAATATAAAAGATCAAAGTTGACATAGGGTTTATTTATAATTAATAAAATTTTTAATTATAACAATTATTTTTATTTTAGAAAAATCTTTAAGATCAAAATCTCAAAATTCTAAAACAAATATTAGACAAATCAGATCAATATTTTACCTTGATTGTTTTCTGATTGGTCAGGGTTCAATTTCCATATTTCTGTATTATTAACCATAATAATACTTCTTAAAGCATTACATATGTTAGTTTGAAGCTCTGGACAGCATTTCTCTTTGCGAACCAACCTTTACAAACAAAATATGCTAAAATATTTCAAACTTAATTTATGTTTGAACGGTATATAGAGAAAAATATTGTATAAAAACCCTTTAAAATTAATTTATGTTTGAGCATAAAAAAAAAAAAAAGTTGTGTAAAAAACTACAATACCAGAACACACTAAGAATTTGAACAATTGTTATTCGAGCTTCATTAAACAGTGAATCATTAAAATCTTGTATTAGTTGAATATAATAAACCAGACCAGATAAAATTGCAGAGCAAACATCTTGGTCAAAACGATAAACAGAAAGAAAAGTTCTAAATAAAATATAGTTGTTATGAATTGTTTTTTTATTTTAATTTCATTAAAAAATAACAAAAATTCATAACTAGTACTACTGAGTACATTTGAACTTTAAAAAAAAAAAAAAAAAAAAAGTTCATAACCAGTACTACTGAGTACATTAGAGTTTTAAAAGAAATAATAACAAAAGTTCATAACCTATGAGTACATTGGAACTTTAAAAGATATAATAACAAAGTTCATAACCTATGAGAACATTGGAACTTAAAAAAAAAAATTTCATTATTACAGTTATTTAATTTATATATTTACATTTTTTTATTTTATATTTATGAAATGCAATAAACAGGTGTTAGAAAATATGCAGAAAATTCCAATTGAAAAAATTAGACATAAATAAAAATTTGTGAATCTTAAATGGAAATCAGGAGTGTGGTGGAAATCAGATGCATGATGCTTTCAAATTCCAACAGTAGCCTGACATAATTTTGATATCCTACTTTTTAGTTATTTAGTATTTAAGGAGTTTAAGTTAATCACTTAAACTCCTTAAATACTTGGATAGAAAGGCCATCACTTTGAGGTACAGGTCTAATTTGGTTCTAAGACTTTATTAGACTTTATTTCAGCTACACTTATTGAATAAAAGTAACAATTGTCAACATGATTAATTAGTTTATGATTACTTCCAAACCATTGGTATTGAAAATCTTACTGTATTTCTAATAAAGTATGCATTGCTAATAATGTTCAACACAACATGAGGTGCCTATGATCTGTCTTGATCTCCAATGTTAATTCCAAAATACGTCAAATAGACTTTTTTAATGAGGTTTATCATTGGTATTCTGCTGCTTTTTATTTTGTATTTTTTTATATATAACAAACGAAGTATGGGTCTTACATATAAATATTTTTAATATACACTTTCTTTATTACTAAAATAATTTTTCCTCTGTTTTGCATTTCTTTCTATATTATTTTTTTCTTTTTATTAAAATTTAAATATTCTTTATGTATATCATTTACATGGTTAATTAATGCTTTTTATTGAACATAGCTGAGCAAGCATTTTTTTTTTTTTACTATTGCAATTTTTAGTTTTTACTATTGCAATTTTTAATTTTGTCTTTTCATCATTTCATCTGCCTTTAATTGGGGCTTTATGTTATAATTTTATGACTTTTTTAAACATGGCAGTTTATAAATGTATTGTCAATTCAATGAAAAAATTTAATTAAAATTATATCGCTTTAACTGAGAGTGATTTAAAAAAAATATTAAATCGATTCTTAATTTTAAGAATCGATTTAATATTTTTTTAAATTAACCCTCAGTTAAAGTGATATAATTTAAAGCAATATAATGAAAAATTATTCAAAATGGTTGCTTTTTAAGATAACTAAAAAAAGTTAACTTTGCATCTCTTCTAGTATAGACAAAGTTAAAACTTTGTCTATACTAGAAGAGATGCGAAGTTAACTTTTTTTAGTTATCTTAAAAAGCAAACATTTTGAATAATTTTTCATTATACAAATTTTTTAATTATACAAATTTAGCATTTTACTTCAATAAAAATGATTATTTTGACAATTTATTTAACAAATTATTGTTAAAATAAATAAAATTATTATTATTAAATAAGTAGAAAACATGGTAAACGCTTAGTGAAAGTCATTTTAGATGACTTTCACTAAGCATTTTATTAATGCTGCCATGAATTACAGAGCTTTTAAGAATTAGCATGTTCTTTTGCAGACATTTCATTAGTATAGACATTTTGTAGGCGTCAATGTTGACATTTTGTTGACATTGTTATGATAAATTTCAGAATAGAACTTTTAAGAATTAACATGTTCTTTTGTAGACAATAATAAGGGTATTTTATATTTTTATCAACAGTCATGATAGTAAATAAAGTTTTTCATTGACATCTGACATCTGAAAATAGACTGTTTTGTAATTTTAAACAACCTAAAATAGAATTTATGCAATAATGCAAATCTTACTGCTCATTTTTTTGTGTCTACCACTTTGTCTCAATTGTAATTGTTCATACTGTATTCAACATACAATCAAGGAGGTTACTTTTCATATTCTATTCTATACTTTCTACTTTTTTTCTTACAATAGGATTCATTTTACTAAATATTTTTAAATTACCTGAATGCTTCTTAAATGGTTTTATTATTTAAGTAATCACAAAAAAATAATCATAAGAAACTGTTGTAACTGATGATTTTTTTTTCAAAGCAAATTTAAATGAATTCAGAAATTGAGGCTTCATCTTTAGTTTAAAAGAAAAATGTTTTGAATTCCAAAAGCTCCTATCATAACTAAAGTAACTATTATGTAATTAAAATTCATAGCAACTTGGACTAAGCATGCAAGTTTATTTGTAGTATATTTTTTAGTGTTGTTATTGACTTCGACTAAATTGACTTAAAGTTGAATAGTCAAAAGCCGAAATTAGTCAACTTTGAAAAATTAAATAACCAATTTAATCAACTTTGACCTTCATACTAATCAACGAAAAGTTGATTCAAGTAAAAATCTTAAAACCCTTTTCATTTGATTTTTCTAAAAAATGTTTTTGTTTGTTCATTTAATAATAATAATATCTACCATTATAACTATTACCTAGTTTTTTGTTTACTCTCTTAAAACTTTATCCAATTCATAGCATGTTAGCATTATTTATACCTTATTAAACTTTTGATTATGTATTTCATTAATTTTTTTTTCGTTTGTTTCCTCGATGGTTGTGATTTTCATAAATACTTTTATACAGAGCCGCTGCAAGACTCAGTGTCATGTAACTTGTATCATGCAAGATTACTCAGTGTCATGTAACTTGTATCATGCAAGATTACTCAGTGTCATGTAACTTGTATCATGCAAGATTACTCAGTGTCATGTAACTTGTATCATGCAAGATTACTCAGTGTCATGTAACTTGTATCATGCAAGATTACTCAGTGTCATGTAACTTGTATCATGCAAGATTACTCAGTGTCATGTAACTTGTATCATGCAAGATTACTCAGTGTCATGTAACTTGTATCATGCAAGATTACTCAGTGTCATGTAACTTGTATCATGCAAGATTACTCAGTGTCATGGGGCAAAATTAAGTAGTAAAACTCCAAAATCTAAATGTCATTAATCTATACAATCACATTGTAAATATGATTGTAATGACTTTTTTGATATATAGTAGGGTAAACTGAACTATTTCTGGCCACTTTGCATTTATTATTTAAAAAAATAAATTCACAACGCGCAATATAAAATAAATTATTTCCAATTAATTACTTCAAGAAAATAAATTATTTCCAATTAATTACTTCAAGAAAATAAATCATTTCCAATTAATTACTTCAAGAAAATAAATTATTTCCAATTAATTACTTCAAGAAAATAAATTATTTCCAATTAATTACTTCAAGAAAATAAATTATTTCCAATTAATTACTTCAAGAAAATAAATTATTTCCAATTAATTACTTCAAGAAAATAAATTATTTCCAATTAATTACTTCAAGAAAATAAATTATTTCCAATTAATTACTTCAAGAAAATAAGTTATTTCCAATTAATTACTTCAAGAAAATAAATTATTTCCAATTAATTACTTCAAGAAAATAAATTATTTCCAATTAATTATTTCAATTTAATCGACTTTTAGTCAACTTAATCAATTTCATTGATGATCTGAAAATTCCTTGAAGTTATCCAAGTAAAAACAAACAATAGAAGAAGATTTAGAGATATTTACATCAACTATTTTTAATTCTTTATGATAATTTTATGGTTTTTGAATACCCAATTGCCAGCCAAGAACCAAGAGGCCGTATGTCCACGTTTTGTGTTTTTCTGATTATTATCAATAAATACTCAACAATCAATGGAGTATGTGTCTAATAAATCTAGTTTTAAGAATGATACAACTTTTAAAAGTATTAACAAATTAAATTTTAAAACTTGATTTTCTCGGAAATACAAAAATTGGACATATGGCCTCTTGGTTCTCGGCTGACAAAATCTGATGTTTTTTGTTTTTTTTTTATGGTTCCAAACAAGTTTAGTACCTAATAAGAGTACTCACTTCATAAGCAAGAAGTTGGGAGTTCGATCCCCACCACACCCCTGGTAGTACCAGAATTAACTTGATTTTGTGTTCAGTGACCTTGTTTGACAAGAGTTATGTCTTGGAGTTACAAAAAGAGGGTTGTAACAACAATAAACAAAAAAGTCTCAACTGACCCCCTCAGCCTTGGAGTGGATAAAAAAAACTATTAAATTAAAATAAATTAAATAAGTTTAGAGTTAATTAAATGTTCTAAAACTAAATATTTATCTTATCAAAATTAAATGTAAATACTTCTTGATGAAATTTTTTTCATTTAAACAAATTTATTGAGATCAAAGTTACAACACTATTAAAGCTCCTTTTTTACCATGAAAAATGGCGATCAATGATATTGACATTATTATACGTCATTATTATACAAAAATTTTTAGACCATCAACATCCTCTTATCCCTACTGGCCTCTACTATATTTCAAATCATTCCCTCCTCCTCCTAATGTAATATTTTAAATTACTCCTTCCTCTTTATGTAATATTTCAAAAAAATGAACGTCATACCTGCATAAAATTCAAAACAAATTTTAACAACATAAGTTAATAAAAAAATTCATAAAATTAAAAATACCTTGAAAGCAAAACTAATGATAAAATGAATTCTGCCTGAAGTTTAATGTTATATTTGACCATAAACTCATTGCAACATATTAGCTGATAAAAAGAAATAAACATATACAGTGAATTAATGCATAACATAAACAGACATAACACAGTGATTTCTATTATCTATCAAATATATATTTCAGTTCTCTAAATTAGGGAAAAAATAAACTGTTTGCCATAAAACTGACGTTTGCTTTAAAATTTGAAAAACTTATGAAAGATTTGTTGATTTGTTTTAATTATTTTGTTTATAATTAATAAAACGTTTTCCCATTTTTATTTAAATTGTTTTGTTCACAATTTAAATAAACATTTTAAATTAAAATAGAATATTTGTTTTTCCATTTTATTTTAATTATTTTATTAAGAATTTTTTTAAATTTAATTCAATAAAAATGTTCCTTTTTTTGTTTTCATTTTAATTTTTTTATTTAGGATTAAAACAATGCCTTTATTTTGCTGATGTATTTTTAAATTAATTGGTTCAGAATTTAAATGAAAGTAGTATGTTTGTCGGTTGCTAGTTTTTTGAAATAATATTTTTCATAATTTGAATAAAGCATTTGTTTTCCCATTTTTACTTTAACTATTTTATTTAGAACTTAAATGTTTATTTTTCCATTTTTAATTAAATCAATTTTTATAGAATTAAAGTTCAAATAAATCAAAAATGTTGTCATTTTTAATTTATTTGAAATAGCAAATAAAATTAAGTTTTAAAATTTTGAGGTCGGTAAAAAAATGACAACCTCTGACACTGTGGGATCAAAAGTTAAGTTGGCATTTGCCCAGTGCTGACTCTAATTCGGTGGGCTGAAATTCGTTTAAATTCAAAAACAACATTTTTAACTAAGTAAAAAATAAAAAAAAAACCTTATTAAAAAATTTTAATTGAATTAAATATTTAAAAAATTACAAATAATAGTAATATTATTAACAAGAAAATGTTATTTCATATAAGTTAAAAACCCTCAATGCATACTACAATAAACTTTATTCCATTTTTAAGAAAAAAATGTTTCCTGTGTTTTTTCAAAAACTTTGCAATGTGAACACATTGAAACAAGAGTTTCCATTGTGAAACTATTGTGAAAAAGAGCTCACATCCTAAACAAAAAATTTATGTGGCGTACTTTGCATGCATAGCACAACTAAAAACACAGTTTATATTGTAATTGTTTAGAGGTAAATATAAGAGATAAATTTTATTTCTACATATAAAAAAAAATATATATATATATTATATATATATATATATACATATATATATATAATATATATTATATATATATATTATATATATATACATATATATATATATATATATATATATATATATATATATATATATATATATATATACATATACATATATATATATATATATATATATATATATATACACACACACACATATATATATATACATATATATATATATATAAATATATATATATACATATATATATATATACATATATATATATATATATATACATATATATATATATATATATATATATATATATATATATATATATATATATATATATATATATATATATATATATGTACACTTACTAAAGCGTGTTTTGATAAGCATTTGCTCACTTTTTCTGCTTACCTTAAGCTATACCGCTTTTTTTCGAAAAAGAAGAAGAAAAAACGAAGAATGATGAATAAAACGATTGCTTCCCCATCCCAAACCCTCAGTCGATGTAGCAGCACTCCACTGCAAGTCAGGCTATTTGTCAGTCAATGTATGTACTGAAGCCCCCAGCAGCAGGCCATTTCAGTATAACGCCAGATTGCTTACCTTAGTACGTAATACTATTTGTATATATATATATATATACAAATAATATATATATATATATATATATATATATATATATATATATATATATATATATATATATACAGTAGCTTTCATAAATTTAGACGCATTCATTTTTTTTTCATTAATGTAAGAAAATACTCAAAATAAAAATAAAATAAAAGTGCTACCGCTATATTTGATATATAATTTAAAAGAGGAAGTAAAACTCTATTATAGAGTACCTTAATTTTTTTTACAGGATGTTTATTACTCATTCTATACCGATTAACACAAAAAAGTTAATTGATAAGCTTGATTTTATTTTGTTCATAAATTTAGACGCACAATCAAAAAAGTCTTATATCTTGTTAATTGATAGTTAATTAGTAGTTTTTTCCCATATTTATCATTAATAGGCCTAAATTAATTGATTTTGTCAAAAAACCTTATATAAATTGACTTACCTGGAATTAGTTAATCATTATTTAATAAATAAACAAAAGTTAAGTTAGTTTTGCACTAAAAAGACGTTAAAAATGGGCAAAAGACGTATCACTCAAGGTGAAAGATGGCAAATTATTGCGCACATCAAAGAAGGAACCAAAAGTAATAGAGAAATCGCCAAGTTAATTGGATTTTCTGAGAAATGCGTTCGGACAACAAAACAAAACTTTCTTCACACTGGTGGTGCCAGCGAGAAAACGAGGCCAGGTAGACCCTTGTCAACCACCAAAAAGGACGACAGTGTTCGTTTTAGAGCTGTCAGAGCTAATCCAAGAATTAGTTACAAAGAATTGAACACAGAATTCAATACAACGCGAAATACATCTATTTCTCAAAGCATAGTCCGCCGAATACTTATCAAATACAAGATTGAAGTCTACACTGCTTTGAAGAAACCGCTTCTGCGTCCATATGATAAACAAAGAAGACTAAAATGGTGTCGTGAAAGAAAGTATTGGACAATAGAACAATGGGAAAACATTATGTGAAGTGATGAGAGTAACTTTGATCTTATCAATCGCAAATCTAACATAAAAGTCAAAAGAATGGCTCACGAAAAGAATTACGCCAGGTACATTAGACCGACTGTACAAAGTGGAGGAGGCTCGATAGGAATCTGGTTATGCTTCAATTACAAAGGTGTTGGTATGTGCCAAACATACACCGGAAGAATCAACTCCAGAATATATGTAGAAGTACTGGAAAACAACCTAATTCCATCAATTGACCTGCTTATGCTCAATGATAAACCATGGAAACTTCAACAAGATGGCGCTACTGCACATACTGTATACTATACAAAGGAGTGGTTCAACAATAGTAATATCATGGCAATACCGTGGCCTCCATACTCACCTGATTTGAACCCGATTGAAAACGTTTGGGCTTAGATTGACCGTGAGTTAGCAAAGGTTCAAATTTCCACACTTGGTCAGCTGAAGGAATTCCTTAAGGAGACCTGGCATGAGGTACTAGAAGGGATGTGCGAAAATCTTGTTGAGTCTATGCCTAGAAGAGTTCTTAGTTGTATTAAAGCAAAAAGCGGATACACAAAATATTGATTGGTTCATAAATTACGCCTTCTAATGTATCGTGTGTCTAAATATATGAATAATTTTTATTGTCTAATTTTTTTAATACCATGTAGTTGTACCTAATTATTACTTAGTATTTCATTTTGTTTTTGCAAACTTTTTTTAAATTTTGTATTCTGTATGTATTTATCTAATAAATAGAAAAAAAACTAAACCGAAATCTTTTTTCGTCATTGTTTGATCGTTAAAAAACTAAAAATTTCTATTCTCAAATATGAGTGCGTCTAAATTTATGAAAACCACTGTATATATATATATATATATATATATATATATATATATATATATATATATATATATATATATATATATATATATATATATATACAACCCTCGAAATTAGGGTCGGCATTTGGCAATGCCGACCTAACTGCTGACCTAAAAGTGCTTGAGGTAGGCAAAAAATTGCCGACCTTGTTTTTATGTTTTATGGTCAGACCTTTGTATCAAATAATTTTTGCCAACCTGATGCTGACCTCAGAAAAATTGAGGTCGGCAAATTATTGCCGACCTCATTTTTCTTAATTCCGAGGGTTGATATATGTATATATATATATATATAATATAATAATATATATATATATATATACATATATATATACATATATATATACATATACATATATATATATATATATATACATATATATATATATATACATATATATATATATATATATATATATATATATATATATATATATATAATATAATATTATATATATACACATATATATATAATAATAATATATATATACATATATATATATATATATATATATACATATATATGTATGTATATATATATATATATATATATATATATATATATATATAATATATATATATATATATATATATATATACATATATATGTATGTATATATATATATATATATATATATATATATATATATATATATATATATATATATATATATATATATACATATATTAAACACATATTTCAATTAAAGATAAAATACTTACCCATATTTATATGTAATTAAATATTTATAGGTCTTATCCAGTCCAGGCTTTATAAATATTGATATAAAAAGTCCAGGCTATAGTTTTAATTTTACCAGACATCATTTAACAAATTTAAACAAAACTTTAGACATTTTTTAACTAACAAAATTTAAAATGATAATAAAGAATTAATTTCTTTATATTTAAAATTTTTTAATTACATTTTTAATTTATTTTGTTTTAAAAAAACATATATTGATTAACACACATTTAAAAAAAACACACACACATATTGTACACATATTAACAGTAGCACTGTATTGAAATGTTGTGATTTTGTATAAACATTCATTATAAAAATAATAAAAAATTACTATGCTTCTATAGAATATTTGGATACTTGATATAAGAACTTGCTTATTTTTTTATTTGTTTTGTTTATAAAGAAACTCTAAACTAGAGTTTACTTGTGTTTTTGGCATCTACTAAGCGTATGTAGCATGATTGAGTGCTGATCAATCAGATTACAGATTATCAATTAAGTAATAAAATGTTTTAAAAGAATTATCATACCTAATTACTTTTAACTAGCTAATTTTTTAACCACCAATCGTCTTATTAATGCCTAATATAAACTATTTTTACCACATTATGAACTAATAATTATTTTTTCTTGTTTTAAAAATATAATCCAAAATTCTTATAAAAATTTTAATATTTATTCTGAAAACTTAAATTACAAGAAAAACAAATCAAATACATTAACTTAATGAAGAATTGGTCCAGTTGATGTTAAACTAATGTTTAACTATGAAAGGTGAGGCTTATTACTATGGTAAAGGCAACTTACCTATAAGAAGAAAAACTGTAATATAAAACCCCCAACTTAATTTTAGTTAATGAATAAACTCCTAGTTTTTCTTCAACTAAATCCCTGCAAAAGTTTTCCTTTAACTTAATCCCCGCATTAGTTTTTCTTTAAAAACAAATCAAAATAATGAATGTTAAAACAAACCATTTGTAGCTCAACATAACTGACATCTTTCATCTAGAATTGAAAAAAAAAAAAAGTTAAAAAAGGTTAGACAAAATTCAAAAGCATAGAAAAGACTGTGTATTAAAACTGGAGAAGTAAAAACAATGTGCAAACACTATGTATAGCACAACAAAAAACATAGTAGACAAAAAACATAGTAGACAAAAAGCAAAAGCTAAAAAAGGGATGATCTGACAAACCTCTTTAAAAAAATTATAAAATCTTTCTTTTTCTTTAATAAAACTTTTTGATTCCATTAACAAAAACATAACTGCCTCACAAGATGTTAACTGTATTTGTTCAGTTTCTGATAAACAATCTCTTTTTAATAGATTATGATCTAAATAGTGATACATAAATGTATTATGTATAAAAACTTTGTTTTAAATAATAAAATTTTGAAAAATTTAAGTGAAAAAAATATTATATGTAATTAGCTCTAAAAATATATATATTAAAAATCATATTAGAAATTTCATTCATGAAAACAATATGTTGCCTGTGCTTTGGAAATAGAAGATGGAAGAAGGGTACTTCCTGTCATCAATACTATCTAAGACATACATACTTTATGTATGCTTGTGTTCTGTCTGATCCTCTGGCTGGGTGTTCACTCACCAGTAAGTAACTTTATGTATGTTTGTGTTCTATTTAAATATCTGATGCAGTGTGAGTTCAGTATTGACTCTTACTATAAATCTATGCTCACCTTTGATGTAATGTTTTTTCCTAATGCATCTCCAAAATATTCCCATCAATGTTTCAAAGTACTGCTTACAGACAGTAACTTCTCTAACTACTCCAGGTCAAGTTCCGGATCATCATAACCATCATTAGTAATTCAGTACTTCCTGTCCCGTACCCTGCTGCCTTGTAGGTTTTTTTTAAGCAAAGACTAGGAGAAACAAACTCTAAATTAAAAATACCCTGCCTTGGGGCTCTTGGTTGAGTAAAGGCTAGAGATAGTGTCTCAATGAAAATACTCATCTTGGGCGGATTTTAATTTAAAATCCAGCTAAAAAGCCCATGCATTAGGGCTCATGGTTGAGTATAGACTAGAGATGGTGTCTCCATCTCAATACTCATCTTGGGCAGATGTTGACTGTATCTAGCTACTGTTCTGTAGAAGGCCTCCTAGGCAAAGAATTTAGGGGTAAGCAGAACAATTTTGTTAACCAGCCTCGAACCCTCCTTTTATTTTTTAGGCTGGCTTAGATGTAAACCTATTTTGCATTGATTCCTGCTTAGGATGATGAATAAGATCTTTATGACTCTACTCATAGATTTTTGCATGTGCCTCCTTGATAGTGGCTACGCAAATCTTCCTGTTATCGCCTTATGAGGGTACAGTTTTAAAACTCAGTTTAATGGTTCTGAGGCTACCTGGTAGTAAGGATTTCAGAACTCTGCGGTAACTCTCAAAGAGACTGATTCCATCAACAGCTCAAAAATATTAGAGTATTAACAGTGCCATGTTGCGCATAATTGGTGTCCCTATTAATGTGTTTGGTGTGCATTGTCAATGCCACATAAGGAGACATACGTTAAAACTTTGGGTTAATTAATGAGAATGAGACAACTGCATAGTTGATTGCTAGGGATACCGTGCTCTATCAAGAAATGAGTTAAGCTCTCTTTAAACATAAACTACGCCCAAGTAAAAATAAAACTAAAAAATCCCCACCACCTTACTCTTTCAATATATTTCAAATATTTGTGGTCTGCAAAAGTAACCTTCCATAACTCTTACCTTAAAAATTTTGGAAAATTTTTAACAATTTACAAAGGTAGATCTAACATTCCATCTCACATTCATGGGACTGATGTTATTACCTCTTCAAATGATAAGGCAGAACTATTTACATTATTGTGCATTAGATAGAAGAGGTAAGGCTAGGGTTGTTGCTCTTGACATATCTAAAGATTTTAATAAAGCTTGGCATGCTGGTCTTCTTCATAAGCTTGCTTCATATGGTTTATCTGGGAAAGTTTTTGAGATTATTAAACCATTTCTTTCAAACTACTTTATTAAAGTCATTCTCAAAGGCCAACACTCTTCTTCATTTCCAGTAACTTTGAAGTATCTCAAGATTCTATCCTTGGTCTCATTTTGTTTCTTATCTTCATAAATGATCTTCTTGACAACCTTACATCTAAAGTTGCTCTATTTGCAGGTGACATATACTCTTGTCTAAACAAAAAGTCTTCTCTTTTAGATCGCTTAGAATAGACAGCCGATCTTGAATCTGATCTCACTTCTGTGACAGGTTGGGGGTTGCAGTGGCTTGTGAACTTTAACTTCAACACGACTCAGTTATTAACTGCAAACAACTATCACAATACTGTTGACATTCCTATATTTATTTATGGCAACTCTCTCACTGAGTCCTCATCTTTTTGTCTTCTTGGATTATCATTTACTACTGATACCTCATGAAAACCTTATATACAATCAATTGCTAAGTTAGCGTCTAACAAAGATGCTTTTTTTATTGTACTTGCCATTTTATTACTCCTGATTCTATTCTCTACTACTACGAATATCTTATTCATACCTGTATGGAATGCCAGGGTTCAAAATAACAAACTTTTTTCTATTGGACATTTTGTCCGATAAAGACTCAAGTTTGCTGGACATGTCCAATAAATATTAAAGAAATGTGATCGAACGCCATTCCTGAACACCAATAAAATATTTTGTTTTTACGCAATATTTTGACAACTGAAATATGTGAAAATAAAATGTAAATATGTAAGATAAATTATCTAACAAAAAGAAAAGGCTCAAAAAACTAAAATTTGAAATGAAAAATATGTTTTTACATTTTTTTACAGTACTATACTATGCGAAATGCTTTGAAAATTATTAAATAAATAATTACGTAAATATATTAAATACATAAACTATGTAATTATTAAATGCATAATTAAATATGTAATAAAAATGTATAATAAAAATACAAAATTATTAAATACATAAATTACTAAGTAAATATATAAAAACTATAATACTTTATTAAATAAAGTAACAAATTAATTATGTTTAAAATAAACCAATTTTATTTAAATCATCAAAGAATATTATACATAATTACATTTATATAAATAAATATTTTTTTATAAATAATTTTAAACCTTTGCTAGGATTTATTTTATAACACTTTTAATAGCGAACTTTTCTGGCGCAAAAACAAAAGTTACATAATAACTCAAATTTAATAGTGTAATAAAAAGTTTCTATAAGCATAACTAGTAAACTATTAAAATATCAATTACGTTAAAATTATTATAAAACAAAATTTAAAAGAAGTTTTAAAAGCTAAAATGTTTGTTTGAAATTTATAAAAACTATCGAACAAAAAACATAAACACTAAACTATAAATTTAAATTTGTAACTAATTGCAACGTTTTAATATGAATGATAAAAACCAGGCTACTTAATTCATAAAAATGTAATGCTTTGGCGACTTTTAAAAAATGAATTAACGCCAATAAAATGACGTATTTTATTTACTAGCCGTGTGTTCAACTTCAATTTTGTTTTGTATAAAAATAAAAAGTTCAAAAAATAAAGTTTATATACAATACTGAATTTATTAATAACTTTTCAAACAACTAAAATGATTAGAAAATGATCAATTGATCAATTGATGTCATTTTTTACCGGACAAGTGACAGACAATGTCTGATGTCCGGCACTTATTCAAACCCTGGAATGCTGTTGCCATATTTGGGCTGGTCTTTCAAATGATGCTCTTTCTCATCTACAGTGGGGTGCAAAAAAAAAGCCACACTAACATTTTTTCTTAATTTTAAGTATATAATGTACAAGGAAGCAAAACTAAAAAATTGGATGTAGCCCTGAAAAATCTTGGACAGAAAAGGTATATGTAAATATACACACTAATATTTATTTAAATAAAATCTTTAAAAAACAAAATAATACAAACAAATTTAATGTTTTAGAAAACAACTAACAGATATAGAAATTGGACGTATAATTGAAGTTGCTGACCAAGGAGAGTCTCACAAAGGCATTGGAAAACGTTTTAAATTACAAAACTCAACTATCAGTAGATTGGTGGAGAAATATAAGCACACTGGTACAACTGAAAGGTATGTTAGATCAGGGAGAAAGCCTAAAACATCAAAAAAAGAAGATCGCTATATTCTTAATGCTGTCAAAAAAAATTGTAAAATCACATGTTCTGAGATAAAACTAGATTTGAACCTTACTAATATCTCAAAATGGACAATATCTCGTCGAATAAAAGCATCAGGAGAGTTTGTTGCTGGAAAGCAAATAAAAAAACCTTTTGTTGGTGAAATCAATGGCAAAAAAAAAGATTAAAGTGGTGCATTGAGCACAAAGATTAGACATGTGAGCAATGGGCTAAAGTTATTTGGAGCGATGAGTCTCCTTTTGCGTTGTTTTATAATGGTCGATCTCACTGCTGGAAATTAATTGGGAGAAATTTTAACCCCCAAGCATGCAAGGCAACCATTAAACATGACAAAAAGATTAATATTTGGGGTTGTTTTAGTGCACAAAAAGTTGGAAAACTTTACCAAGCAGAGGATACCATGGACCAGCATTTGTATCACAAAATCATAGTTTATTAACTTGGACCAAGTATAGAAGAACTTTTCTCTAATAATGACTACATCTTTCAACAAGATAACAATTCCAAGCATACAGCACGGTTAAATAAAAAATATCTGGAATCGAAATTGATACCAGTTATGTCTTGGCCAGCACAGTCTCCTGTTTTAATTCCAATAGAAAATCTTTGGTCTATATTGGATAGAAAATTGCAAAATCGTTGGGCAACAAATAAAAATGAACTGTTCCAAATTCTTCTTGCTCGTTGGAATGCTTTACCAAATAACTTATTAAAAAGACTTGTAGATAGTATGCCTTCTAGATGCGCAGAAGTCATAAAATATAAAGGATTAAATACTAATATAGCTAAAACTTGAAAAATACTTTACAAATCCTAATTTCTTTTCATTACATGTAATGTACAATAATATTATATACATTTCTTTAAAAATTCTGAATTACTTTTATTATATGAGTTTAAAACATTTGTTGTTTTTTTAATCAAAAAATTGAGTGTGGCTTTTTTTTTGCACCTCCCTGTAGACAATCTATAACTAAAACTCATTCTTCCTTCTCATTCAGCTAAGTCTTTTTAGCTCAAAGAAGCCATCTATAACTAAAACTCATTCAAGTCTTTTTCATTTACTTGTCTCTGCATGCTCTAAAAACTTTTATTCGTCTAGTTTTTTTTCCCACACTTCAACTCTTTGGAACTCTCTCCCACCTTCATGTTTTTGAACACTTCTTATTAAAAAAGTTTTTCGAAACATTTAGCACACTTCATTTTTAAAAAAGTTTTTTTAAACATTTAGCACACTTCATTTTTAAAAAAGTTTTTTGAAACATTTAACATACTTCATTTTTAAAAAATTTTTATTATTATTATTATTATTTTATTTATTTAACACCCAATTTACAAGGTAAAAAGAAAAAAATAAGAAAGTTATTTCGGATGACTTTGCTTAAAAACGTTTTCTTCCAGAATTTGCTTGAAAACTCCTCTTTGCTCTTTTGCATTCCAGCACTCTATTGCATACTTCAAGTTTCGTTCAACTTCGGAAGGAATTTTACTTTTAGAAAGTGGTATTTTTACCTTCTTTTTATTTTGAATTAGGTTTTGAAAATTTAATATCTGAAGATGGCATAGTTCCTGAAAATCACTAACAAACGAATGTTGAAATAACGGGTGTTGCAGTTGTGAAAAGATAATGTCTGCAGTTGTTTTGTTATTAAGAAGTCGAAGGAACAAGTTTAACTTATTTTGTTGAACACTTTTTGAAATTTCCTGGATTTTAAATAACGAATTCATATAGTTTTTACTATGTTTTGAAACATTTAAAAACGATTTTAGCGCACTCCTTCCAATTATATCTAGCTTTTTCATCAGACCAGGATTATTTTCACATAGCTCCATACCATAAGTTAAGGTGGGGACTGCCAATGATTTATATATATTGGAAATAGAACTGGGGTGGGCAAACCGGATTCCAGATTGAATAAGAGTTTGAACAACAGCTCTAAAGTTTGATATTTTTTCATCAACATTTGAATAACCGAGTGAAGCAAAAACTGAATGTTTAGTATCCCATGTGAATCCCAGATGTCTAAGTTTATTCTGAAGATTTTTTTTATTACCAGAAACATTTTATGAAACATTTAGCACACTTTTTTTATGAAACATTTAGCACACTTTATTTTAAAAAAAAATTAAACTATTATATTTACTTTTTTTTGGGTTATAATTATTACAAGCAAAAAATCTGATTTCACAAATGTAAAAAAATTTGATAAAATATAATTATTTCTGAAAGAATTTGACAAAAATAAATGGTACCTGGATTGTTACTAAATTTATTGTTCTTTTTATTGTTTATTTCACTGTCGATTGATTCAAATACTTGATACATTGGTTCAGTTAAGCACTGCACACAAAAATAATCAATATAATAGATATTATACTAATACAATATGTTAAGTAGAGAATTAAAAAAAAAAACTTCAACTAAATACTTTATAGTATTTTACCAGAATGAACTAATGTTGAACCAATAATCAGTTTTAAAAAAAAAACTTGTATATTTGTAAGAAAATAAATTCTAAGTAAAATATGTTATTATTTAAGAAATAATTTAAAAAATTTAGATCATTCTTGGACAGGTGTTACAAACAAAAAATTAGTAAGTAAAAAAAAATATATAATTTAGTGATAGATCATAGAATAATATTAATGTACATAGAATAAAAAGTAAATTACTTTCTCAATATTGTGTAGTAGCAAGTTGACCATAGCACCAGGTAAATTTTTTAACAAATAACCAATATTGTCCAGGTAACTATAAATCTAAAAATAACAATTTTTATTATTATTTTTATTTTTTATCAATATTAACATATTATTGTTGAACCATTTGCAACCCTCGGAATTAGGAAAAATGAGGTAAGCAATAATTTGCCGATCTTTTTGAGCTCGGCATCAGGTTGGCAAAAATTATTTGATACAAAGCTCTATAAATTTTCAAATACTCCAAAAAATAGAGTATTTGAAAACTCCAAATATTGGAGTATTTTAAAACTTCCAAAAGTTTTGAAAATTTCATTTGAAGCATATTTAGGGATTAGTATGATTTAATTTAAAATTAATTTGTCGATAAAGTAAATTACATTGTATTTTATAGTTTTGTTACATTACTAAAAGCTGTTAACAATAATTTAAAAATAAAATTGGTATGTATTAACTTGGACTTGTTTTTGATACAACTTCTTCAAATAAAAGGCTAAATCTAGTGCCTGTGTAATTCTTGAAGCTTGGGATATGCATCATGTTTTAAAGATTTGTTTTTAAATTTTAAATACAGTTTTTGAAACCAGTGGAAAGTGGAAGCCAGAAGTTGAATTTTTTATTTGGTTCCAAAAATACTGTCCCTAAACTGACAAAGAGTTTTCACACTTATGAAGAATAACCTTTAACTCTAAATATTTCATCAAACTTTGTAAAGAGACATACTATAAAATTAAGAAAGAGAAGAATGAAAAAGAGCACCAAAGAAATTCACAGAGAACTTACACAATCAAATTTTCTGCTATTATGCAACACTAAAGCATGATTATGAAAAAAGATTACTTTGAAAGACAGAAGAGTACATGCAGAGTGCATACAACAGTATGAACTTGAAAATATTGCTGCTAATAGCAGAGCTGGTACTTATGTTTAACTCCAGGAGGTTTTTCTTCTTACAGTGTGAATAAATATATATAAAATTTGAGAGTTTGGGTTGACGCATCCTACATATATAACACATTTGTTATGGCAAAAAAAGTTTTTTAATTGCTATTATTAAATCTAAAAAAACAACTGATATAGTTGTCATTTTAAATATTTAAGTGTAGATAATATATTTGAATAATGATGACCTAATTCTGCAGGAGATATTTTGCAAATATATAATGTATATATATGTATATACATATATATATATATATATATATATATATATATATATATATATATATATATATATATATATATATATATATATATATATATATATGTATATATATATATATATATATATATATATATATATATATATATATATATATATATATATATATATATATATATATATATATATATATATATTATATATATATATATATATAATAATAATAACAATAATAATTTTTTTAATACTTACAAAATTTTTAATGATAATTAAAGATTCGTTAATGCATTTATGTTTTGAATTTTCTTTGCAATCTTTGACTTTCTCAAAAAACTCCATGTACTTTGCCATCACTTTTTCTTGCAAATAAGAAACTTTATCAGTCATTCGAGTTCCTTTTAAAAACTTTTCACTTTGTATTCCCAAATTCATTAAAAATACAAAAACATTGGTGATTAACTTTAACATTCGACAAAACTCATTTTCCTAAAAATTATATGCAAAATTTAATTGCAGATCATTTGTTAATTACAAAATAATTAATATTTTAAAAAAATACATCAAAAATATATATTCACCGAAACAGAGCATGTAGCAACACACTCTACCATAATAGATAACTTCTCTACAACAGTATTTTCAACGTTACTCAGGCTTTCATACCTTCTTCAAAAACAAAATTAAAGCAATAAAATTGAAAACATTGCTTTAAATTAAATCATCAATTTTTTTTTCATTATTTTATACTTTTTTTATACTAATATTTTCATTACTAATACCTTTTTTTATACTAATACCTTTTTTATGTAATAATAATGGTGATAAAAATAGCTTGTAATATGATAATATGGTTGAATTAAATTAATTTTAAATCAACAGTTAATGCTTTTAACTACATAAACTAAATTTTGAATATAGAAATATAGAAAAAAATGAACAACTGTGGTTTTACCCAGAGTTGATAAATGTTTTTGCCTCCACAGCAATTAATTACAGTCTACCAAATATTTTATGGTAGAAAAATGTTATGGCTTCAGCTTTTTAGAAGGCAGAACATTAGTGACCGCTGTAAGAATCTTTATTTCTCGTTTAGTGGCGAGAAGCAAAAATTCCTACCACAATAATATGGTAAATAATTATTTGTATAGCAGAATTAATAGCATTTTTCAAAAGTATTTTTTTAATGCTCTATAATATTATTATACTTTTGAAAAGTATTTTTTTAATGCTATCTATTATCTATTATAATCTATAATATTATTATACTTTTGAAAAAATGCTATTAGTTCTGCTATAAAAATAACTATTTAAAACATTAGGACTCTGAATTCAAGAACAAAATTAAGGACTGAATATTTCTTTGGTTATCGCTGGTCAAAATATATAATAAACAAACATACTTTAATGAATCTTTAGAACACTCATATGAAAAGTCATCTAACAAGGATTTATTTTCCTTCTACAAAAAGAAAAAATTATTTTAAACAATAATAATTATTGCTCATGCAATATAATACTTAGTAGACAAAAAATACCATTTCATTTGATAAAATTAGAAAGTCCTCCTCATTTGCAAACTTGTGTACAACTTTATATGGTACTGCTAATGTTCTAAAGAAAATTATAAAACAAAGGATTTTCAGGCAAATATTTAGGATAAAATAAAAGTTGAAATATCATTTTTATAATTTATACTAAACTTGGTAAAATAAATTATATAAAGTCAAAAAAATTCAAATAAAATATAGAAATATATAAAAAATATAATTTTAATACAATTTCAACAACTAAAATTTAAAGGTATTTTTTAAGAAATCATAAACTCTTACTCCAATAATTAAACAGAAAAAGAAATCATAGTAATTATAGTGCAGTCTTGAAAAAATCTTGTAAATTACTTGAGGGTCTACTGCATGAATCAATCTCTGGTCACTTAGTTATCATTGGTTTAATTACTTAAGTTTAGTGTGGTTTTGTGGAAAAAAAAAGCATGCACAGCCAATTTGTTGAAATCCTGCAATATTTTTAGGGAAATTACTAATTGTAACCAGCATGTCAATGTTTTTTTCATTGATTTAACAAAGGTTTTTGACAAGGTACTACACAAAAAATTTATACATAAATTGAAAGCATAGGGAATACAAATAATACTTTTAGACTGCATTAATTTGTGGCTATCTAGACAAAAAATCAGAATGGAAAAAATCATAAATGGAGAACCTTATGGATTTATCTTAGATCTTCTTAATATACAAAAATAACCCACTATGTTTTCTCGATACCATAACAATATCAAATGAAAAATGTATTAACATCTTACAACAGCATACATACTTTTTTGTAATAATTTTAATTACTAAATAAACTAAACTAAACTGAAGTTGACAAAATTTGCACTATTTTTAACATTTTTTAAGTTTTTATAAACATTTTCACAAACTATATAAAAAAAGTTTCAATTATTTTCACAATGAAAATTTAAAGTTTATGAATCACTGTGTTGACTGTGGAAAAATTTAATCAAATTTTCTTTAAATTAATTTGATTTTTTTTTTAGGATGAATTTTTAGTTTTTAATATAATAACACATGTAAAATATATGTGTTATTAAATTAAAATATTTTAAATATATTAAAACATGTGATGAAATTTAATTATTTTTTACTTTGAACCTATGTATTATATTGGAGTTATAAAAATTAGTGAGTATAAAAATCAAGTAGGAAAAGTTGTCACTAGGTATACATGTGTTGACATGGATAGTTGTAAATAGATAAACATGTTTATTTATTTACATGTTAGATGTAATATAAATAAATGTATTGATTTTGCAATTTTTTATTTTTTATTTTTTTATTTTTGTAGGCAACAGCAATTTAAAATAGCAAACAACAAATAAAGGTACTTTATCAAAAACACATTATTTATAACTTCTCAAATTTGCTGTTACAAATTTGTAAAGTTACAAATTTGTAAAGTTACAAATTTGTAAAGTTACAAATTTGTAAAGTTACAAATTTGTAAAGCTACAAATTTGTTAAGTTACAAATTTGTTAAATTACAAATTTGTTAAGTTACAAATTTGCTATGTTACAAATTTGCTTTGTTACAAATTTGCTATGTTACAAGTTTGCTATGTTACAAATTCGCTGTTACAAATTTGTTATGTTACAAGTTTGCTATGTTACAAATTTGCTAAATTACAAATTAGGAATAACTAGAAGTAATAATAAAGAATCACGAATTAAAAAAAATAAAAATAAAGAATCATGAAGTAAATAAAAATTGAAAATTAAACAACCAATATTAAGCATTATTAAGATTTGCGTAAAACTTTTTTTATTATAATTTTTTCATTGAAAATAAGGAATCATGAAGTAAAAAAAAATTAGGAACCATGAAGTAAAAAAAAATAAGGAACCATGAAGTAAAAAAAAGGAATCATGAAGAAAAAAAAAATTAAACAACCAATATTAAAGGGATCCCAAACCTCTGAGACATATTGTGTTCATATTTAAGAGAATGATAAAAAATCAATCTTTTACACAAACAAAAAATAATGGCATCATGTACTGAAACTCTTAGGAATTAAAGGTGCTTGAATAAGTTATCAAGTCTGTAAATTGCAGCATATATTATGCTGACTTTTTGGCCTACAACAAAATGGAGAAGGCAAGTTTTAACAGAAATAAAAAAGTTAGTTTTTCTTGGTATGCATTTATTCTTTTTTTTTTTTTTTGCTTTTGTTCAAAAAGTTTAGTCTAAACATTTTTTTTTAATCATAATCTTTAATATGAACACAACATGTCTTGGAGGCTTGGGATCTCTTTAAGTATTATAAAGATTTTCAAATTTACGTAAAACTTTATGTTTTACTTGGATTTTTTCATTAAAAATAAAGAATAGTAATATCACACTTATAAAACTTACCCAAATTTATTGGTTTTACAAAACACAATTGGTGTAGAAGATATTAGACAGGTTAAAATAAATCCAACCAAAGGAAATTCACTATTGTAACATTAAATAACATTAAAAATAAACTACTCACATGAAAAAAACTCAAACAAAATTTCACTAATTTTATATAAGCAATTTTATAATTAAAATTACTATGTAGTATAAGTAATATATTACATGGAAAAAACTTGTATATAACAACTAAGTTTACAGCAAGCAAAGAATGGAGTTAACAAAAAACTTTAAAAAACTGTAACTTGCATGAGTTAGGAAAACATGAAGACAGAAGAAAATTCTAGAGTATCGATTTTCAATCTTAACTCAAAAGTTAGGCTCTAGAGACTTTTCTTATTACTTCGCCCAAGGATAAGGCAAAATATATTTATTTGCAAAATATATTTCTTTAAATTTGACTCATGAATCTTAAAGCCATTTTCTTCCTTCCATTCCAATTAAACAGGTTAACCCATTGTTAGACATTCAAATTGCTCCAGCTTCCATTGCTATAGTCATATCTCAATTAAACTCTTCTACAGTTTGTAATCCAGACAACATTCATGTCATATTCTTATAAAATTGTTCTCCAGAACTCTCTTCAATTCTCTCTAAACTATTAAATAAGTGCTTGACTGAGTCTTATTTTGTTGCTTGCTGTTAGCATCTGTTATTCTAATTTTCAAAAACTCTGGAGAACATCCTAACCCTCTAATTATCATACAATATGTTTTCTTTCTGTTATTAGCAAGGTCTTTGATCAACAAATTTCTTACATCCCACTATGAGTCAAACAACTTTCAGATAATCAATGTTTTTGATCCTCTTGCTCTATGGCTTCTGTGACAGAAAGATTTTATTGTGCATTAACTTCTGTGACAGAAAGATTTTATTGTGCATTAACTTCTGTGACAGAAAGATTTTATTGTGCATTAACTTCTGTGACAGAAAGATTTTATTGTGCATTAGATGGAGGCGGAGAGGCTAGGGTTATTGCTCTTAAAATATAAGCTTTTCACAAAGTTTGTTCTGCTGGGCTTCTCTATAAGCTTGCTTCACATGCTGTATCTGGGAAAGTTTTTGAGATTATTAATTTGGTTCTTTCTAACCATTTTATTAAAATCATCCTCGAAGGCTCCTCTTCATTTTCAATAACTTCTGGAGTACCTTAAGGTTCTATCCTTGTTCCAGTTTTGTTTCTTATCTACATTAATGATCTTTCCAACAATCTTACATCTAAAGTAGCTCTTTTTGCTAACAAGTCAACTTTATACTCCTGTCTTGAAAAAAAGTCTTTTCTTTTCGATCACTAAGAATAGGCAGTAGATTTTGAATCTGATTTCACTTCTGTAACAAATTGGGGCTCACAGTGGCTTGTAAATTTGAACTCCGACAAAACTCAGTTATTTACTGCAAACAACTATTGCAGTACTGTTGACATTCCTATACTGATAAATGGCAACCCTCTCACTGAGTCTTCTTCTTTAAATCTTCTTTACATCTTCTTGGATTATCATTTATTACTGACCTTTCATGGAAACCATATATACAATCAATTGCTAAATTAGCATCCACTAAAGTTGTTTCTCTTTACCATGCTTGCCATTTTCCTACTCCTAATTCAATTCTCTACCTCTACAAATATCTTATGCATGCCTGTATGAAAAGCTGGTTTCATATTTCTTTTAATGAAGCTCTTTCTCTTCTAGACAATGTCTGAAAATACATTGTAAACATAGTTAGACCCACTCTATCTGCCAAGCTTGAGCCACTTTCCTATTTTTGTAAATTTCTTTCTCTTTTCTAAATACTATCATGATGGCTCATCATAGTCGCTGCTCAAAGGAATTATCAACTCTTCCATGAACTTTTGATCAATGTTTGACTCGTTATTCAGCTAAATGGCGTTTGTTTATTTATCTGTCACTGCATGCTCTTCTATCTTCATGTTTTACTGACTTATACAACCTACAACTTTCAAAGTCTTCTGCCAACCGTTTTCCTGCTCTATTTATTTTTTTCCTAGTAACTCCTAACTTAATAGTGGTTACTTGCAGCCTTGTTGGGAGTTAATCTGAATTTGAAAAAAAAAAGACATCAACCTAAAGAAAACCTGGTTGTCTAGAAAATGAGTCACAATGTTTATCTAAGTAATTGATCTGAGATTTAGAAAGAAACTTTGAGTTTGAGGCACCAGCAGACTCATTGGTACTAGAGAACTGCAATTAAGTGTGATGATCATTTAAATCACTAGTAGCAACAATATTGGCTTTGGGATAAATAGGAAACAACTTTGAAAAAAGAGCATTCTTAGGAACAATACATAGAACAAAAAAAATTGAGGGAAGAGATGCAAATCAAAGGCATATAAAAAAATAGCCAGAGAATTCAAATCTGATTTCACAAGAAATAGGTGAATTAATAAATAAGTTTAGGTAAACCACATGAGTATTGAATTTCTTGGAATCAAAAGATAAGAACTATTAACACTAAAATCTGAAAAGGTAACAGTTAAAATTAAATTAGCCTAAAAAGAACAAATAGGTCTGGTGAATTTTGCATAAGACTCAACATATGAAAAGTTAAGAACCCAAATCTTATTCTATGACAAGTAGGTGAATTTTACATGGATATCCAGATCAAGCATGTTACATGTGATAAACATTTTGCATAAGATAATATTCAATGTATGAAAAGTTACTTAAATAAAGTAATATTCAATGAATGAAAAGTTACTTCAAAGACTACAAAATGATTTATTTAATAAATAAAAAAAACCCTTGAAAGTGATTTATTAAAACAAAGTGATTTATTTAATAAAAAAACAACACTACAAAGTGAACTACTTAATAAAAAAAACAACACTACGAAGTGATTTATTTAATAAAAAAAACAATGCTACCAAGTGATTTATTAAACAAGAACAGAAAAACACTACAAAATGATTTACCTATTTGAAGGAAAAAAATATGATAAAAGAAAGTGAAAGTTTTGTGAAAGTGAAAGTGATTTTAAGCTTTAGATATAACACATACAGAAGTATGTGCTTTATTAAAACAATATTAAGAAATATAAATATATTTTCTAATATATTTAATATAACTATTTTATTTATATAATAAAAGACAATTTTTTGCATTAGATTAAACTCTGTTTTAAATTACACAAAATATACTGAAATAAAAAAATGAACTTACCTACTTAATCTTTCAATTAACTTTAGATTTTCTGCTTCATCAGATATAGGTATAAGCCAATTTAATAAATAATGACGCAACGGATAATTTGATGAGACATTAGTGCTGAAAAATGAACTGGTTACCAAATCAAGATTCTCTGGAAAATATTCTGATTCTAAAACTACTTTTAACAGATTCAGCGTTTCACTAAAACAAAGACATAAAGTATTTATTGATTATTTAAATTTAATATTATAGAACATTTTTTGATAATTTAACTAAACTTTAAAAAGAATTTTATATTACTTCAGTCTTATGATTTTATGGAAAAACAAGTTGAACATGGTATTACCAGGGAGAGAATGGGGTACCTTTTGCTTACAATGCAAGTGCCCTCAACTACTTGGCACATTGATTAAACTAAACATTTTAAATGCAGATATTCTAAGATAAGAATTGTTTTTTTTGAAAAATATATTGGGCTAAAAATGAACAATTATTTGTTTTTATAACAACAACTTTAATATTAGGTATAATGAAATAAGTGTAAAACCTCTTTAAGAAAATATTTTATAGTATTCTTGTCACTTCTCATTTATCAATAACATAAAAAAATACCAGATCATCAATAATTTTCATTGATAATATAAAAAAAATACCAGATCATAATCTTCATCAATAATACAAAAAAAATACCAGATCACCTATAATCTTCATCAATAATATAAAAAAAGACCAGATCATCTATTTAAAAAGTCTTCTTTTATATATTATCTTTTATATATTATGGAGTTTCTGTCAATATTTAAAATAAATCAGACAATATTTAAAGGTCACTAAAACTTTTGTAGCAACTTACTTGCTAGTTAAAATTTTTTTTAACTGATCAACTTTGCTTTTTAGCTGATAATCTTTGAACATTTGCTTTTAAAATCTACTGCTTTCATATGCTTTCATAATATTAACAACTGATATTTGTCCTTAAGTTTGATTTCACAAAAATATGCTTTATCAGAAACCTTACTTAATCTTTAATTATGCAATTGAATACAGAGTAAATTTTTCTTTAAAATGTTTAAAGAGGCATTCTGTCAACCTAGTTGAAAAGAATTAATTGGTGATTTTTTAAATAGTTAAGCACTAAACTATTGTTGTAATATGTAATAAATCATTTTTTATTGCTTTTTGAAGAAAATCTTTTACAGTCAAAAAAAATGTATCTGTTTTTTTTTTGTGGCTAAAAATTATTTTTTTTTGTTGCTAAAAGCATAAAATAGCTGTAAAAACATTGAATATTTAAAATTTTATCAAAAAATATTACTATTTTTTGTATAACATTTTTATTCCTTGACACGGAAGGTGATTACAAAAATTATACTAATTAGCACTTACCATATATTGAAACTCTTTTGTAGACATTTTTTTGTTTATTTTTTTCTCTAAAATACCATTTAATTTAATCTAAATTACCAATTGAAGGTAATTTAATCCAAGAGAATATTCATTTGATATTTTTTACTTTTTATACTTTATTTATGATATGAAACGAATTATATAAAGATTCAAGATTTGAAAAAGAAAGAAATATTCGAAAAAAAATTTAAAAGTCAAGTTAATATATTTTGACAAACAACTGTAGAAACACTTACAGCTATAACTTACAGCGAAGAATTAAACGACAACAGCAACAACAAAAAAAATGCATAAAAAAAGATACTTAGAAGAAACAAAGTTCAGAGAAAATCTTTAGTGGATAATTTTTATGAAACTAAAAAACCAATGTTTTTTTTATTTAGTAATCATATTAAATTTATGCTTTTTTTTCTTAAGGTAAATAAATAAAAATTAAAATCAAAATATAACATTTTTTCATTCATGTTAGGTGAAGAATCAATTAGGGTAGGTGGTGCTTTATCACTGTAGATGAATTAGTACTAGGTCTTACAAAAAATCAAAAAAAAAAATAATAAAATAATTTTACTCAAATTTGAATAATATTAATTAATAGTTTGAGCATAAATTATTAATCCGAAATCCCTAAATTTAAATCTGCTACGATTTTGGAGTTATGAAATTTTAAAGCTAAAAGTTCTCTTAAAGTCATAGTAGGGGAAGACTTGACCCTAATATAATTTAAAAAAAATTTTAAGAACTAATATAATTTAAAAAAAAACTTATATATTTTTAATATATTTTAAGAATTAATATAATTTAAAAAATATTTTAAAAACTAATATGAGTGTTTTCAACGAGTATCAAAGTGTTTCAACAAGTATCAAAGTGTTAGTATTGGACCGAAAGAGTCTTTATTCAGTTTTATTAAACTTACTTAACACAACATGTTATAAAACCAACGTGTCAGCTAAAATTAAATGAATATACAAATATTCTAGATCTAATTTTAACATTAGAAAATTCAATTGAAACCACAAAGCTACTATTTAGAAGAGAAAATTATGAAAAATTCACAGCGTTTTTGAATAACCATAATTGGAGCGAGGAATTCAAAAATTTAGATGTCAATCAGAGTTATTCAAAGTTTATTATTATTTACGAAAAGGGTTACGATGAATGTATTCCTAAATTAAAATCAAACAAAATAAATTTCAGAAGCAATAAAAGATCTTTATGGATGAATGCACAACTTAAGCAAGAAATAAGACTAAAGAGAAACCTTTGGTATTGTTACAAAATACTAGATTTTAAAAATAAAGAACTAAATCAATAATATAAAGAAAAATAAAAGCTTAAGCAATAATATAAAGAAAACTACAGTAGAATCAAAACAAAACCCAAAACAAATTTATGTCTATATCAATGGTAAAATGTTTAGGACCACATAAGGTGGTAACTATTTAAACAGGTTCTTCTGTTCCGAATTTAGTGATGAAAACCTTAAAGTTATTCCATTATGTGAAAAATAACATTATGTGAAATGTAACAAATTCAATTTGTCTGATTCTTTTGTTCAACAAAACTGATATAGCAAACAGATTATCTAAACTTAATGTAAACAAATCTCCAGGAAGTGACAATTTTCACCCATTAGTCCTAAATAATTGTGCAGAAAGTCTTAGCAAACTGTTATGCATTATTGTCAACCAATCGCTAGAATCGGGAACACTACCAGAACTTTGGCTTCAAAGCAGATCGCCTAAATTAAACTACAGACCAATCTCTTTAACCTCGATAGTATGCAAGCTAATGAAAAGTTTTGTCAGAGATACAATAATGAAACACCTTGTTGATAACAATCTAATAACCAAAGATCAACATGGTTTCATATAAACAAAAAGCTGTGTTTACAAACCTGCTAGAAACATTAGATAAGCTTACTGATCTAAAAGAAAAAGGTATCTGTGCTGATATTGCCTTTACATTTTAGATTTTGCAAAAGCTTTTGACTTGGTTACACATAGAAGATTAATTCTCAAATTAGAGTCAATCGGTATAAAGGGGTTTATTGGTGTGTGTCATTTTTGAATAACAGAAAACAAAGAGTAGTTCTAGGGAAATATTAGAATGGGAAACTTTAAAAAGTAAAGTATCGCAAGGATCTTTCTTGGACTTTTACTTTTTGTAATTTTCATCAATGACTTAACACAGGGTTTAAATAAAAAAGCTAGACTATATGCAGATGATACAAAAGTGATTGCAAAAATAAATAAAAATGATAAAAATTTGCATAATTCTAAGACGATTTGGATTATCTCTTCGAATGGTCAAATAAATGGCTAATCAACTTTAATAGTGATAAATGCAAGATAAAGTACATAGGTCGTGATAACCCAAAAAATAAATACACATGAAAATGCAATACTGAAAATAGGGAACCTCTAGAAAAAATCTTCAAGAGACATCATTAGAACGAGACTTAGATGTATATATTTCAAATGATTTAAAATGGGAACATCATATTGAGTCTATTGTTAACTAAGCTAATAGTAAGTTGGGGTTAATAAAACACGCATTCAACTACATCGACAAAAATACTATGAAGCTATTAGATATGAAGCGAATAGATATTATACATATCACTCATGCGACCTCACATAGAATATGCATTTCAAATATGGAACTCATACTATGCTAAATATATTAATTTTATAGAAAGAGTCTAAAAACAAGCAACTAAAATTTTTTTCCCAAAAGGTACTAACTATAAACAACGGATACAAAATATGGAACTTTCAAAATTGGTTGATAGAAGGTTGCGAGGTGCAGATGTTTAGATTTCAAAATTTCAGATGTTTAGATTTCAAAACAATATAGATAAATAACGAACCTGAAAGAATAACTAATACTAAGAGAAGACATGATCAGAAATTAAGAAGACAATATGTTAGAAACTCACTTTCTAGGCATAATTTCTTCACCAACCATGTTGTAGAAGCTTGAAATATCCTAGATCAAGATGCTATTAATGCAACTCCTGTAAATGATTGTGAAAACAAACTAAAACGCTTTAATGAAAAACGGCTGTTATCTCCTGACATTAGACTCATTTTTCTTGGTAAAACAAGAAAACAGCATTTTATATATATTAATATTATATTTATATATTAAAAAAAATGTATTAAGAACTAATATATTTTTAAAATGTTTAAAGATATTTTTAGATATTCTTTCTAATTATTAGATTCCATGGTTTCTAAAATAAACTTAAAAGTATGAACTTAAAAATAGTTAATAGTTTAAAAACTTGATAGGTCAAGTTAAAAATAAAAGAGGCTGTGATTGTTTGATAAAAAAATTATTCTTAATATCTAAATAAATAAAACATTGATAATTTGATAAAATAGTTTTAAAAATTTATTAAAACAATAATTTCAATAATATTAACTTTTTATTGTTATCATAATATTTATTTGTCATTATTAAAATAATTTTAAAACAAGAAAGCAAACAAGAAACCTTTTAGGTATTGCAACATTTAGAGAAAATAACTTGAAGATATCTGAACTACAGCCAACTAATTTATTCTGTAAAAAAAAATATTCATAAATAAAACTACTCTTTAAAGAGAATATTAAACGATATCACTCTTTCATTATTAAATGATATCACTCTTTCATTATTAAATGATATCACTCTTTAATTATTAAATGATATCACTCTTTCATTATTAAATATCACTCTTTCATTATTAAATATCACTCTTTCATTATTAAATGATATCACTCTTTAATTATTAAATGATATCACTCTTTAATTATTAAATGATATCACTCTTTAATTATTAAATGATATCACTCTTTCATTATTAAATAATATCACTCTTTAATTATTAAATGATATCACTCTTTAATTATTAAATGATATCACTCTTTCATTATTAAATGATATCACTCTTTCATTATTAAATGATATCACTCTTTCATTATTAAATGATACAACTCTTTCATTATTAAATATCACTCTTTCATTATTAAATGATATCACTCTTTAATTATTAAATGATATCACTCTTTAATTATTAAATGATATCACTCTTTCATAATTAAATGATATCACTCTTTAATTATTAAATGATATCACTCTTTCATTATTAAATGATATCACTCTTTCATTATTAAATGATATCACTCTTTCATTATTAAATGATATCACTCTTTCATTATTAAATGATATCACTCTTTCATTATTAGATGATATCACTCTTTTATTATTAAACGATATCACTCTTTCATTATTAAATGATATCACTCTTTCATTATTAAATGATATCACTCTTTAATTATTAAATGATATCACTCTTTAATTATTAAATGATATCACTCTTTCATTATTAAATGATATCACTCTTTCATTATTAAATGATATCACTCTTTCATTATTAAATGATACAACTCTTTCATTATTAAATATCACTCTTTCATTATTAAATGATATCACTCTTTAATTATTAAATGATATCACTCTTTAATTATTAAATGATATCACTCTTTCATAATTAAATGATATCACTCTTTAATTATTAAATGATATCACTCTTTCATTATTAAATGATATCACTCTTTCATTATTAAATGATATCACTCTCATTATTAAATGATATCACTCTTTCATTATTAAATGATATCACTCTTTAATTATTAAATGATATCACTCTTTAATTATTAAATGATATCACTCTTTCATTATTAAATGATATCACTCTTTCATTATTAAATGATATCACTCTTTCATTATTAAATGATATCACTCTTTCATTATTAAATGATACAACTCTTTCATTATTAAATATCACTCTTTCATTATTAAATGATATCACTCTTTAATTATTAAATGATATCACTCTTTAATTATTAAATGATATCACTCTTTCATAATTAAATGATATCACTCTTTAATTATTAAATGATATCACTCTTTCATTATTAAATGATATCACTCTTTCATTATTAAATGATATCACTCTTTCATTATTAAATGATATCACTCTTTCATTATTAAATGATATCACTGTTTCATTATTAAATGATATCACTCTTTCATTATTAAATGATATCACTCTTTCATTATTAAATGATATCACTCTTTCATTATTAAATGATATCACTCTCATTATTAAATGATATCACTCTTTCATTATTAAATGATATCACTCTTTCATTATTAAATGATATCACTCTTTCATTATTAAATGATATCACTCTCATTATTAAATGATATCACTCTTTCATTATTAAATGATATCACTCTTTCATTATTAAATGATATCACTCTTTCATTATTAAATGATATCACTCTTTCATTATTAAATGATATCACTCTTTCATTATTAAATGATATCACTCTTTCATTATTAAATGATATCACTCTTTCATTATTAAACGATATCACTCTTTCATTATTAAATGATATCACTCTTTCATTATTAAATGATATCACTCTCATTACTAAATGATATCACTCTTTCATTATTAAATGATATCACTCTTTCATTATTAAATGATATCACTCTCATTATTAAATGATATCACTCTTTCATTATTAAATGATATCACTCTTTCATTATTAAATGATATCACTCTTTCATTATTAAATGATATCACTCTCATTACTAAATGATATCACTCTTTCATTATTAAATGATATCACTCTTTCATTATTAAATGATATCACTCTCATTATTAAATGATATCACTCTTTCATTATTAAATGATATCACTCTTTCATTATTAAATGATATCACTCTTTCATTATTAAATGATATCACTCTTTCATTATTAAATGATATCACTCTTTCATTATTAAATGATATCACTCTTTCATTATTAAATGATATCACTGTTTCATTATTAAATGATATCACTCTTTCATTATTAAATGATATCACTCTTTCATTATTAAATGATATCACTCTTTCATTATTAAATGATATCACTCTCATTATTAAATGATATCACTCTTTCATTATTAAATGATATCACTCTTTCATTATTAAATGATATCACTCTTTCATTATTAAATGATATCACTCTCATTATTAAATGATATCACTCTTTCATTATTAAATGATATCACTCTTTCATTATTAAATGATATCACTCTTTCATTATTAAATGATATCACTCTTTCATTATTAAATGATATCACTCTTTCATTATTAAATGATATCACTCTTTCATTATTAAATGATATCACTCTTTCATTATTAAACGATATCACTCTTTCATTATTAAATGATATCACTCTTTCATTATTAAATGATATCACTCTCATTACTAAATGATATCACTCTTTCATTATTAAATGATATCACTCTTTCATTATTAAATGATATCACTCTCATTATTAAATGATATCACTCTTTCATTATTAAATGATATCACTCTTTCATTATTAAATGATATCACTCTTTCATTATTAAATGATATCACTCTCATTACTAAATGATATCACTCTTTCATTATTAAATGATATCACTCTTTCATTATTAAATGATATCACTCTCATTATTAAATGATATCACTCTTTCATTATTAAATGATATCACTCTTTCATTATTAAATGATATCACTCTTTTATTATTAAATGATATCACTCTCATTATTAAATGATATCACTCTTTCATTATTAAATGATATCACTCTTTCATTATTAAATGATATCACTCTTTCATTATTAAATGATATCACTCTTTCATTATTAAATGATATCACTCTTTCATTATTAGATGATATCACTCTTTTATTATTAAACGATATCACTCTTTCATTATTAAATGATATCACTCTTTCATTATTAAATGATATCACTCTTTCATTATTAAATGATATCACTCTTTCATTATTAAATGATATCACTCTTTAAAGAGAATCACAATTTATACTGCTCTTTAAGATCTTAAAATATTAAAAACTGTGCACATATTAAAAACATATATTCAATATGAATATTGTTGAATCATTAAAAACGCTCCATTTTTTTAAATAATTTTTCATAAATAGAAAATATCAAATAACTATTAGCCAAGAAATTAGGACTTTAAAAACACTTTAAGAAAAGTTTGCAAAAATAAATGAACTTGCCTTCCACAAAAAAACACTTCATGAAATGTTTAAAAAAAAAAAGAACTTACCTTCCACAAAAAAGCCATAACATCAATAGCCTCTAATAAACTTGGATCTGAACTAAAAACTTTTAAACATGTCTTTGATATAGACAGGATCAATTGATTTGCACTTTCAACAAAAATATCAGGTGGTCGAGCATACAAAATGGTTAGAAGAGGTTTTAATAACCATTTCAAAATTTCTTTTCTAATAACAAAATAAAGACTTCTTAGAAAAGTTATTGAAAAAATATAAAGACAAATTCCTTTTCATAAAAAATAGCCTAATGTATACTATTATTGAAATACTTTTACACTTTTAAGCAAGTTTTTCAAAAATTAAAAAATTATTTTGAAAGCATTTGCAACATATAAATAAAGAATTATACTTTTTACAACGAAGTAGGTTTTGATGCAAAATTGAAAGAAACTTGTTGGAAATGCAATTTTTCAACATAATCAACATGTGTGATTTAAAAAGCTCATCCAGCATTTGCAACCTGTATATTTAATTAGATCATAAATTGGATCTTATAAACTGCTTTACCAAGAAATTTTATCAAAAGATACTTTTTATAAAATTTCTTGGTAAAGCAAGTTGAGTTTATTAAAAGATATTTTTATAGAATGACTCTATAAAAATCACTTTTTTTAGAGTTAAAAAAAAAAATATATGTATATATATATATATATATATATATATATATATATTATATATATATATATATATATATATATATATATATATATATATTTGTACTTCACCACACCAAGGCCAGGAAGGCCTTACAGATGAGGAGGCCACTTTTGGTAATAACGCTCTCCCAACTCTATAACTTCAAAATACGAACCTTGACAAACAAGGCCACTGCGCAGGGCTTATCAGATGATATATATATATATATACATATATATATATATATATATATATATATATATATACAGGGGTCGAAATAAGTGTCGGACATTGCCGCCCCTCAGACAATTTTTGAGACCTGCGATATGAGAGCAACCAACCATTGTTCATTTTTTCTGAAAAAATGAACAATGGTTTGTTATATATATATATATATATATATATATATATATATATATATATATATATATATAATATATATATATATATATATTATATATATATATATATATATATATATATATATATATATATATATATATATATATATATATATATATATATATATATATATATATATATATATATATATATATATATATATATATATATATATATATATATATATATATATTATACCATTACTTTTCAAGAAAAGATGTCTAGAAAAAAAAGACACAAAAGACACTGTGAACTACCAAAACACAATGTAAATCAAATAATGTTATAATTTGAAAACATTTGATATATAAAAAAAAAAAAATGTTACCATACAACTGAAGAGTCAGAGTCTGGAACTTTTTGCAAGCCCTGAAATAGCATATCTAATGGTGATTCAAAAGAAATTTTGCTTTTTTTACGAGCAACACCTGTGCTTGTGACTGAATAAGTAACTGATATATTTTGATTGTCGACTGTAAGAACAAGCATCTAATGACATCAATTAACATGAATAATTTAATAATATCCAATAAAATCATATGTATTAATCTAATCAATACAAATTTTATTTTTTATCTAGTCATTTTAAAAATGAAACTGGTATACTTATTTTAATAACCTGAGAAAAGACTGATGCTGCAAACTGTACCATCTCTTTTTCTTCACAAATTGTTATACTACTAAATAATGATTTTATTTTAAACAATTATAATATTATAAAATTAAATTATATATTATTATATTAAAAATAAAAACTTTTAGGAACCAATCTCAATATTAAAATATTAATGCAAAAGCAATATTGTATAAACAAAACCAAAAACCAAAATATATACATATATTTATATATATATATATATATATATATATATATATATATATATATATATATATATATATATATATATATATATATATATATATATATATATATATATATATATATATATATATTTCCATCAATAACATTCAAAAAAAAAAACATCCCTAATAACAAAAGTTCTAAATAACTACACAAAATAATTGTTATCATAATTAACAAGTGATAAATAAAACTCTATGCCATATATAAAGTAATACTAAATATACTCGATCATATTTAAGATGCCAGCATACTAGATGCAACTAACAAACTTGTTCTAAAAAATTATGCTGTATTGTCATTAAGTCCTTGTTTTTTTGCAAACAGTTTTTTTAATGACACACACATAGGAAAAATGAGGTCGGCAATAATTTGCTGATCTCAACCATTTAAAGGTCGGCATCAGGTCGCTAAAAATCATTTGATACAAAGGTCTGACCATAAAACATAGAAACGAGGCAATTTTTTCCTGACCTTGTTTCTATGTTTTATGGTCAGGCTGAAACACTTTCGGGTTGGCAGTTAGGTCGACATTGCCGCATGCCAACCATAATTCCAAGGGTTGCACACATATATATATATATATATATATATATATATATATATATATATATATATATATATATATATATATATATATATATATATATATATATATATATATATATATATATATTTAGGGCAAATATATAAAAAATGAGCCTCAAAATGTTTGAGCTCTATTGGATTACTTTTGACCCCCCCCCTCAAGCCAATAATTTAGGGAAAAAATGACCGTAAACTGGTCATTTTCAGGCATCTTGAGGGAGTGGTAATTTTTTTTTAATTTTTTTTTCTACTATATTTATATAGACCTATATTTTAAAAATATATGATTTTTTTGTTACCCCTCAAAAATCTTTTTATGGTGGTATTGAAAATTATGAAAATTGGTAATTTTTTGAAATTTTTCAGTTATTCATATTGTTATATATTTATATTTTAGTGCAACTTAAATTTATCTTATAACTTATAGTTTATCATTTTGATTTTTCTAATAGTTTTAGATTAGTACATACAATAAACATAATAAAAATGAGTGAGGCACAACTTAGGTCAAAGAAAAAGGAATTTTTTTTTATAAAAGAGGCAAAACCAGATATATCAGGTAGAAATGTTTTTATTAATACTGGAATTATTAAATCACTGGTCACTAAAATATCTATTTTAAAAATGTCTAAATCTTTTTTGTTTAGATGTACAGCTTCCAACATGGTTGGAGGTTCTTCAACATTTAATATATAATCAACAATTTAAACCTGCGCCAATATCGAATATTATTGCTTGTCCTCTTAAAAAAAAATTTTTAAGATGTTCAGATAGTTGTTGTGAATGTATTTTGTCAAAAATAAAGAGACCCTGGGTTAAAGCTGGCTTTGATGTGTTAACTGATTTAAGTTTAGTTAAAAAAATGTTTAACTTACATAAGTCCTATTCCAACCTAAAAAAAAATGCAAAATGAAGAACTATAGTTGATTTGACTAAACAAAATGAGTTTGAGATCAAAATTAAAAAACTTTTTTGGGCTGGTAATTCTAATCTCAAAAACATGATCAGTAAAGATAAAAAAAAATCACTAAAAGACAAGATTGAAGATTTAAAGTTTCTGGAAGATCAAGAAGGTGAAAGAGAGTTTGTTATTGGTTCAGAGGATATTAAGTATAAAAAAAAGTCAATGCTTTTAGTTTAAAATAGTTTATCTCTGGTTTAACCTCTGTTAATATGTTCTTTTTTTTTATCAATTCTAAAATTAAAAACTAAAACTATAATTTTTTTGTAAATTAGGCAGAAGAAAGTATCAGGAAGAAAAATTGTTCACAGCCTAAGAGTTTGATAGATTATATACTCAACAGTGAACTTATGGACACGATTCTAAGTCTATTCTAAGTCTAATCTATGGACACAATTCTAAGTCTAATCTATGGACACTAAGTGAGGACTCTTCAATCGAATCTGATTTTGATCCAAGTGATTAGTATCACATAGAACTCTCTGAAAACTCAGATACAGTAACTGCAAAAATTCCAAAAGATATTTATGCAGGTAATGTTTCACTTACTGCTACAGCCTATTATATATCGCCAAATGTTTTACAAAAGGTAACAAATGCAATTCTATACCAATCAAGTGTTGATCTTAAAGAAGTTAAAAGCAGCCAGTCTACTGCTTATAAAAAAAATGTCCATTATTACAAAAGAGGGTATTAAGGTAGTCATTGATGCATCTCCATATCTATGTATAATTCATTTTGATGACAAGAACTTGTTTGAGCTAAACAAAGGAAAAGTATTAAAGAGGGATAGGATGGCTCTTTTAGTTAACATTAATGGAGAGACTTACCTACTTGGAGTACCTCCGCTAGCATCATCTACTGGTAAAGATAAGTTCTTAGGTGTAATGAATTTAATTAAGGATTATTTAACTTACGTCAAAAACTAGAGGAATATGCTTTGATATAACGTCATCCAATACTGGAACAAATAAAGGATCAGTTTCCAGAATATTTAAAGAACTAGATAAGTATTTTCTCCAAATAGCCTGTAGACATCACATGATTGAATTAAGAATGCTTCATATTTGGAAATTAGTGACCAATGAAAAAACTAATGGACCTAATAATCCTCTTTTCAAAAAGTTAAAAGATATTTTTGAAGAACCTAATTTTAATTATAATCCAGTTCAACTGTTACGATTTGATTGGAATAAGGTTAAAAGCTCTCTTTTAAAAAAGGCAGCTAATAAGTCATTGACATTTTGCAGAGCTTATGTTGGTAAACCAGGTATTATAAGAGATGATAAAAGTGAGCTTGCAGAATTAGTTGTCACTTATTTATCCCCTTTTACATATAAAGTAAGAAAAACTGATGCTATTCATCATGCAAGACTTTTAGGAAAAGTAACTTATTATATAAAGCTTCAACTTCTATCCAATCAGCTTGTGTTTGTTCAAGAAAACGATAAGCTGAAAACTGAAATTATAACCTTATATCAGAATTTATTGTTTGCTTTTATGCAAAATGGTATCTACAATCTGAGGATGCTGTTAAAGCTCAGATTCTTGATTTTACGACCATTCATCAAATGCATCTGTACAAGAATGTATGTACAAACCCAATAGCTGTTGATGCTGTATTAGAGTCTCAATATAAGCATTGTTGGTATTTGGATTCAACCATGATACCTCTAGCTTTGTTAGATGATGAGTTAGCATTAGAGGAGAAGGCAAAAATTGCATCAGCAATTCTGTCATTTGATGTCTAGCTCTGACTACTATAAGCCTGAGAACAAAGTAAAAGTTGATATTAAGGAAATTTACAAAATGGATACAAATATTGGTAAAAAACCACCATCTTTGTCTGTCTTAGTTAACGATTTTTCTTACCTGATTTTTAATATGATTGGGCTTGATAAGCAACGAGTTAAAGACTGGCTCTCACTCTCACCAAACTATTGGCATACTCAGTCATACTTCAAAAGTTTTCAAAAATATGCTGAAACTTTGATTTTTGTAAATGACCATTCAGAACGGTCTATAGGTATAA